CAGGGGGGAACTGGGGAATGAGAAGGAGGAGGAGGGAGGGGAAGGCAGTGATAAACCTAGGTACAGTAGAAGACCTATTATATCTTCACACCCACCAGCAAAACTACATATGTATACAGTCCAAACTCACACACACTGTACACACGCCCCTGGCCAATTATCCACCTGCAACAGCCTTTTGCAATAGAGTGGCAAGGGTTAAAACGTCATGGCTATGAGCCTTTCTTTCATGTAAGCCGCTCAGTGTGTGTGAGCTGACAGCGAGGTAAGATAGAGGGTCAAATAGCTGAGAGGGGTGAGAGAAATTCAGATACAAAGTGAGAGTTGTAGGGGGAGAGAATGAGAGAGGTGTTCGTCCCACAGGACAGAGCTGGAGGCAAGGTGTAGACATAGCATCAATATGGAAGAACTGAGCTGAATAAGGTATATTTTTGCTTATAGCATAAACAACACTCGTAAAGGATACATGCATGTCGTATGAAATGCATTGGAGGGTTGCCCAGCCAATGTAAGGCTTAGTTTAATACTCATAGATTTGTCAGCTAGTGAGAATTTATGACATTTATCTTGTGATGTGAAATAGCATTCCATTCCCTTTTCTAATATGTTCATTTATATTTTGCTGTTATTCAGACAGATTCTTCTAAAAAGAGAGGCCTTGGCAGTAAATTAATGGAAAAGTAATAGATGAGGCATTCAGCAGTTACTAATTCTGCCTGTTAGGCGATTTGATATTGTACTTACTGTTTGTTATACTCTCCATTCATCCCTTCTGGATGTCATCAGGTTATATTTGATGATGTTTGACTCCCAAAAGCCTAATATTGTGTCAGCTTGTGAAGCAAATGGAGTAAATTAAACAGTTTAAAAGAAGCAGATCTACTTTCAGGAAACCAGGAAGAGAGACAAACGGGTAGAGAGATGGATTATCTTTCATTATTTTCTTTATTTCTCTTACCTTATTCTTATTCTGTTCCAAGAAAAAATCTGAAGCCAAAGGCGAGACCCACGCTGTGATCTTTCTGTTTGCAGGATTGACTCCGGGTGCCTTCTGATAAATCTTTAATTCCCTGGTGGGTCTGTTTTTGTATCCTCCCAAAGATTTGCGGGGAAGCTTGTTGTACTCGGTTTAATTTCCTCAGAATAAAGCTCATCTGATCTTCCCACCCAGACTTGTGTGTGGCATTACATCTTCATTTTCATTAATGTTGAAGGGGCAGATCGGGAATCTCATTTTAATTTGACATTTAAACATCTGTTTTCAATTTCCTGAGGAAAATAGTGTGTGTGTGCTTATCTGCCTATGTGTGAGCGCGTGGGTGGACAATGGGGGTGAAGAACCTGGGAGTTTTCAATGCACAGAGCAGCCATCTCCGCTGACCTTTAAAGGAGGGTTTGGATGTAAGAAATGATGGCATGCTAATTGCTTTAGCCTCAGCAAAGAACCAATTTGCTACTGTGGTTCTGGCGAGCGATTTATCACACACAGTGGAGTGTGGTTGTACTGGACTTGGCAGGGCCCAACACATGTTTGTCAGTGCAAACTAAACCTCTGCTTTGATAGATATGGTTGTGTTATGCACAGTCAGCCGTTTGTCTTGCAGCGAGGCATGTCAGCCAGATGAGATAGGATGTGTTTTGTTCTTGAACTACTGAAAAGAGGATAATGCAATGCAGAATGTATCCCTTTACCTTGACAAAGCGTATTGATATCTGTCCAAGTCCGGATATTCACTCTTTTTCATCCTATCATCAGCATATTTGAGCAAATCCAGGACGGACAAAGAGGCGTCTTCATGCTGGGACCTGTGACTCTGGCTCATTTCCACATATTAAGCCTCAAACTGAAAATCTCTCTGTACACACACAAACACACGCACACACACATTGAGTTTGGCCTCCCTGTTAATAGCGCAGGAAATATTATCTGCTGGGGGACAGCTGCAGGCTCACTAGAGAGACAGAATGGTAGAGTAGGCTCATTATCCCAAACACAGACACACACAGACACACACACACACACACGTTCAGGACAGCACACATTGTGAGAGACTCTTTATCCCCTTTTTTTCCACCAAATTCTGAGTCCTTGAACAGAATCAGCTAGGGAGGCAGGCGAGTGGGGCCTTATGCAGTATGTATACAGGAAGGAGGGATGCTGGATGCCTTATTTAAACCAGGGGGGCCAGAGGCAGCCGGTTCTACCACAGCTCCGGATCTGACAGGGCTTCTGGCGGAAGAGTTAGGGCTTTGTACCCCATCCAGATCTGTGTCCGTCTGTCTCTCCTACAGACTGTCTAGCTGCCTCTGTCTCTCTCTTGCTCATGTTGCCTTTATCCCAGAGGATTTTTGTTTTCAACTACGCAGATGTTCTTGGCTGTCTGCTGCGCTTAACTCAGCTGTGTTTATAACAATGAGGTGTTAGTGTGGAGGAGGATTGAGGGCAGCGAGGTGAGGGGAGCTAGTGCTGCTAAGGAGGGGTGGAGGTCACAGCGCTGTGGGTGTAAACACTGGATGATGCCAGCTATCCCCCGGGCCTCCAACCAGTCAATACAGCATCGTTTTGTCCTCTTTCCCTCCCCACACACATCCCTTTTTATTTTCCAGAGGGACAGATGCATCTGCATGTTAGCTGTGAGAGTTCCGGTGAAACCAGCATGGGAGGTAGAGACCAACTGAGAGGAGACCATGTGCACTTAATGTCACCGTTAAAGTTACTCAACCTGCTCAACCAAGCGTTTAATACAAGCTTTAGTGAGGCACTACACACATGAATTCTCTCATGTGCTCTTTAACTTTTTAGTGTAAACACTCTTGATCAACACGACATTGCTCAAACATTCGGAATCAGTATCTGTATACTTTTAAGACAAAACAAGAAGAATAGATGTTTTGCACGCTAACAACCTTTGCATAAGTATAATATGAGTATTATATTGACCCCCTTTGATATTCAAGGACAACTTTTGCCTGGATACAGAGTGTTTCAATTGACCACTCCAACAGTTGCGTCTGATATCAGGCATGACAGAAGTGGAGACTGTTTAATCAGATGGAGCTGGTGCTCTAATGGATCGGATGTTTAGTGTTTACATTTGCATTCCTGGATGACTGTATCTTCTTTTAACCATACCAAATGAGCTCACTCGCATCACAGCTGCACCGCTGAGTTTGAGTTGGATCAGAGTCAGCGTATGTACGCATGATCGTAATTCATGTGTTTACAGCACACTGCATGTATATGTAAATATATTCCTTCAACAGACAATCAGACAATAAAACCTGTTCCTATGCTAGATAATTTAGGGATGGTAATGTCACAGCTGCATGCAGGAAGGTGTGGGTGGGAGTATTCAGCAAAAGAGCTATTACAACCCATCTGACTCCAAAAGCAGGCTCCTGTTGAATTGGACTCCTACTCCACGTTACAAGAAGCAGAGAGCAGTATCTTGGCTCAGCAATGTCCAATTAAGTGCTTAAAGGGTTTAGTGAGGAATTTGTTGGCTGTCAGTAGGTGAGGGGGTCCTGTGTTGAGCCTGACTTTGATCTGTGACTGAGGTGACTTTAGAGCAAGCTGAGGAGCGTGAGACAATAGACTGGAAAGGTTTTATCCCTTAAACACAGACACAAGCATACATGTACTTTCCATACATACAAAGGGATAACCAAGATTGCTGACCTTGCATACTTTGTGTGTGGCCTGGATTTCAGCTTGAAATTTACAAGCAATATTTTCATTGGTTTTTATATGCTTGTGCAGTAAAGCTGTGGAAGTGATTACTGGCACGCTGTCTGCAGAAAGTATCTGGTGGCTTCTTCTCTCCTCTCAATGAACCTCCAGTTTAGCTATAACACAGTAGATATGGAGTCTAAAGATGTGCTGTTCCTTTTCCCCTTAGAAAAAAGGCATGCATTGATCTGTTTTGATGCAACTACTACCAGTTGGTAATGATACTGAAGTAATATTCTGAAGAGGCAGGCAGACAAGACTAATGATTTTAGATAAAACAGGTTTTGTAGTTTTGCTTTTACCCCCAATTGAATACCAGAATTGCTCAGTACCTCTCTTTAAAACCTTCACCTTCTTTTCAGTTTCATATTTGTACCAATACATTAGACCTAAGAAGGTGTGGATCTCATGTGTTGGATAATGAAAATCCATGGCCGTGTCATCTTTTTTAGAGCATTTCTCCAGGGAAAATCAATGCAAATAAGAATCATATTATAGCAAAGACCTTAGCAAGGCAGCAATGTTTGATTGGATCTAATGTAGATTTGTATCTATGTGAATATAGCATATGAGCGCAAGGGATGTACATATGGACTGTCAGGGAGAGATGAAGAAGTGATGATGGAGAGGCCATCATCAGTGTGTGTGTGTGTGTGTGTGTGTGTGTGTGTGTGTGTGTGTGTGTGTGTGTGTGTGTGTGTGTGTGTGTGTGTGTGTGTGTGTGTGTGTGTGTGTGTGTGTGTGTGTGTGTGTGTGTGTGTGTGTGTGTGTGTGTGTGTGTGTGTGTGTGTGTGTGTGTGTGTGTGTGTGATTACATGAAGGTTGTTGTGGCTCAGTAAACAAAGAGGAAGGTCATTGCTATTAGAGATGTTGATGGGCACAAATATGTGTTCATCATTGCTGTTGTAAAGCTTATTGTCAGAAAGGTTGGAGAGGCAACAGGCCATTAAATGCAACTGTATAAGTTGTTATGAACAGTAGCCTATACATATCTTTTATACATAGTCTAAGTCCATTGTATATCCTGTGAACACATTTTGGCTTGATTGTTACTGTTTTCAATGGTGCATTAAATCAATATGTTTGCTTAGCATTTATTATCTGTGCGGAACTCTGTGTGGAAATGGGCTGCTGTTTTACAAGCTGCCATGGGCTTTATTAATGTTGCAACAGCTTAAAGTGTAATTTAAACATCTATATTTTGTATTTACTGTTTTCCCTAAAGGAGTATTGACATTCTGTTAAAAGTTTCATTTCTGTTTTCTTGCAGTTTTACGTGATGACTTCAGACAAAACCCTGCAGATGTGATCGTGGCGGCAGGAGAGCCGGCGGTCCTGGAGTGTCAACCTCCCCGTGGACATCCTGAACCCACCATATCGTGGAAAAAAGATGGAGTAAACATTGACGACCGAGATGAGAGAATCACTGTAAGAATCTTTTTTTGGTAAAGTTTAGTGACTTTGTTATTGCTCACGCGTAGGTTATCCTATTAATGCCTGAATACTGCTTTGTATTTAAGGATGGTGTGTTTAAATGTATGAGATAGAATGACCCAGTGATGCAGGTCGAGTCATTACCACCACTTCAGTGTTTACTGAAAGATTGATTTGTTTGCCTCATTATTCACATATAGCAATTACTGAACCCAAAGCAGCCTATTTCAGTGGCAACAACCTTTAATGACCGAGGTAGATAGAATCTGTTTCGCTCCCTCAGTCAGCAGCAGTGCATTGATCGGGGATGGCCTGCTGATGAAATCAACTAGGGGAAGCGTTGTACTCAGCAGCAGCGCCTGCAGAAATCCAAACAACTCTTTACATTTGATTTGCAACCAAACCACCAATTATTCGGCTTTAATTAAAACAACAGCACAGCCGGCACTGCAGCATCAATCAGCTCTACATGCTTGCTAGCCTATGGTCTGAAATAATACCTGCTCAAAATGTCTAAAAAAAACACAACTTGGGACCATAGTTGTTTTAGTTGCATCTGTTAATGCTGTTTGGATGTATGCTCGAGCGAATCACAGTACAAGCTCTGACTCAGCACTCCAACACAAGCAGGTGTTGAGGAGTAGTAAGCTGAGTGTCCGATTCCCATTTTCCTGAAAACCCCACCAGTTCTGGCTCCACATCCTGCAGTTCTTTGGTACTCAAAGAGTTTGGTCCCCAAATGCTGACAATGGCTAACTTTACAGTAGAGTCATGGATCATTACATTTCCCCCAGATAATGACTACAAGGTACTAATAAACATGTTCCACTCTGTATGCCTGACATGCAGTGCTGAAAGCCATGGGCTGGTTGTGCTCAATACATTTTCATTACTGGGTAAGTTGATTCAGTGATTTATCGCTGTTGGCTGTCTTCATCGGAGCACTGTAAATGACCGAACACAGTTTTGCTCATTGAGGGCCAGTTGCGTGCATTGAGCACTGAAAGCACATTTTACTCGTAAACAGTGTGAGTATTCTTCCTCTCTGTTTCTCTCTAAGCTGCACAGGCAGGAGATTAGGAGTCCAAGTCTTGCCACTGAGCAACATAATTGAAAGAAACAAGCGCATAATCTAGTTTAACGAGAATCAAATCATATTTGTCTCCGAGTTAAGTGAGTAGTTACTGATAAGCACGAAATCTCTGCCACACAGTAACCTCTTATGGCCTTTCTATAAACTGTTTGTCCTTTTTCTACACATTTGGATCATGCATGTATTTATTGTATTTACGCAAGCTGTGCCCACTGTTACACTTTAGCTTATTGCATCCTTTTTTTACACTCTGTAAAATAAAATATAGTCATGTTTTTAATATTGTTCATTTAACTGATGACAAACTAGCTCATGCTGTTAGTGTGAGAGGTATTTTCGGGACAAAGCAGCTCTGGTTGTACTTATATTACTCATGTAGTGTGACGCATGGTTCTTGCGCACATAGCCTTTCCCATAATTATATTTTAGTCCCACTGACTACAACACATGTTCACACTATTTATTTTGTTTATAAATCATTTCTGCAACAACATCCATCCTACCCCCTGCATGGTGGAAGTAAGGACTTACTCTCTGTAATGTTTATGTGATTTTGTGCACTGATGGGTGGAATCCTCAGAGTAAATGTTGGCTGCCGTGAGAAAGGCTCAATGACTCAAAGTTGTGTCCTTGTCTGCAACACTGTTGGGTCTTTTGTGGAAATGAAAAAGGCTCTGATGGATTTAAATTAGCTACTTGGACCAGCTGGAGTTACTCACTGTAAACTTCCTGTCAAGCACAAACCTCACAAACTGAGTGTTCCCAAATTACCACTTTTAAAGTAGTGCTAGACGTCATACATGATCATCTCAGTATGTGTAATCAACTATGGTGACAGATGGGAGGCAGGACTGTCTCCTGTGTTAAAAGCTGTATTAGAAGAAGAGAATCATGATGAGACCAGTTAGTCTACAGTTAGTTATATTTCATTTATTGTGAGTGACTTGAGGTCTGTAGAGAGCAAGCAGAGGGGGGGGGGGGGGATCTTTATAATGTGATGAACAGCTGAGCTCGTCCAAGGGCCCCCCCTCATCCAGCCTACATTGTTGTGTTTGGTTCAGTTCATTCCTCCAACCGTGCAACATGCTGGAACGTGCAGTTTCCTTGGTGATCACTGGTGATCAGAGCGAGCTCCCAAACCGTTTACTCTTTGAACTGTACTTTACTGGGATTGGTCGACTTGGCTTTGGTGGCTGCAGTGCAAAGAGAGACTCAACTTCAGAGAAAGGCAGACACATCAGAATAAACCATTCTGTTTTTCTATCTATTTTGGTCAGCTGTGTGTAAATATCAATGACATGCTGTATGCCATCTCACATGACTGCATGTGGGGTGGTTATGAAAAGTTTCCCACTGAGCCATAAAGAGTGAGGTAGCGCTATCAGCCTGTAATGCTGTCGTGCCACTAGCAGCAGCTGGCCGCATTCCTCTCAACTTTGTCACACAGGTCTTGCAGGAACCATGAATAAAGGATAAATAAACATATACAGGAATAATGCCAGTATAAGCCTAGACCATTGTCTGCTTAGGGCAATTCGACATCACAAAACAACCAAAATGCAGCACATTGTCCTCTCCCTTTGTGCAATAGTTGTGGTTAATTATCAGCCTGGAAAATTGGACCGCTGTGTGATTACCAACAGAATGCATGCTGAATAGAGGCTTTTCTTCATTATCAGCATTGCCAAAAGACATGAGACAAAAGGCAACAGGATAGAGCCATCTCCCGTAATGCAGGGATAATGCTCAGATTGTTGGGGCTTTTAGCAGCCTGTGTGCTTTGCTGTGTTGGATATGCATTTGCAGAAACAGAGGGCCGCTGCTGCATTCATTTACTTGCTCTCAGAGTCCCTGCTGCTCTGGCACTTCAAATATGCCTGTGGAGAATGGGAAACTGCCACACAGAGGTAGGAGTATGGATAGAGTGGACAGGGCCTTAAGTGGATCCTCATGTTAAAGCCCTGTGGACCCAACGGTACACCCCCCTCTTTCTCTGCTGTATGGTCTGCCCTGACCTTGGGCCCTTGTGAGTGTCACAGTGTTTTAGCTGCTAAGCCTTTCCTCAAACAAACAGTAACATAATGATACTTCAAACCCTTCCAGCACCACGGGGTGCCCTAAATAAGCCAACCTTCCACAGCCTCTTCAAGTCCCTATGCCCTCCTGCTTTACCATGAATATTAAACAGGGAGTAGGGCTGAGGAATGCCTCAGAACCTGAAAAATATATCCGGTTGCAAAGTTGTCCTTCAAGTATCTTAGCCTGGCGACTTTATGAAAACTAAAACGTATACACACAAGTGTGTCTGTCATATGCAAGTGATAATGTGGAATACAGTGGTGTAGATTTCCTGAGGGGCATCATGGATCACAAGTGAACACACATGTAAGAAGGGCTTGTGTTTAACATAGTAGTCACGCATTTGCAATATTGTGTGTCAAGCTCTCTGTCAGAGGTACTCTAATGAGGGTATCGATGACATGCTTGCAGGTGGTGGTCCCGGGTCTCGCACGCTGATATGTGCATTTAAAACCTAAAGCCCCCATCAAGCCAAAGAGATCATTGGTGCACCATTCTATTGTCTGTCTCTGCGCTGACTGGCATGGTTGTGAGCTGAGAGAAGGGCTGGGGGGCCTGTGCTGGGGCTGTCTTTCTGACTGCCTGAGAACAAAGCACCTCCTCTGGCCTGTAATCAAAGCCCTGGGAAATAACAGACATGACATTCACCTGGACAAACACACATTCAGCGCTGGGTGTGTGCGCTGTTCATGTTTGCTTGAATGTATGTTTACTTGCTCTCACTTGCAGTTGTATGCACACACGGGGGAAAAATCAAGAAGAATATTCTTTAAAACAAAAGTGTCCTGAAGCTCTTTGAGGCAACTGGAAAAGTGCTCACAGTCCTGCAGAGCCTCAGGTGTTTCCTCAGGGATCCACATTTGTGTTGGATTGGAAAAGTGTTCTTTGGCTCAGCTTACCCTAAGGAGGAACGGGCCGACTGATAGAGATTTAGACTCCAAGTGGTAGCTGAGTGCAAAAATAAAAAAATGGGCTAGAGAGAAAGTTCAGTTTGTTCCCAATGCTCAAAAGTCCAATAGTTCAGCACCAAGCCATTATGTGTTTGTGAGTACATTTCATATTGGTGTTGTAATGATCTTTTGGTAAGTAAGTGCTCACAGACCTTCTTTAATGCAATAAGGAAATGTTTTGTAATGTTTGAGCTCTGCTGTTTTCTTTTTTCTGAGTCAACCACAGGCCCACTGTGTCTCTCAGACTTTCATGTTGCTGTTTTCCTCTCAATGATAAGCCTCTCTCCTCTTACTTTATTCCCTTTAGATACGCGGAGGGAAGCTGATGATCACAAATGCCCGGAAGAGCGATGCTGGGAAATATGTGTGCGTTGGCACAAACATGGTCGGAGAACGTGAAAGTGAAATAGCCGAACTCACAGTACTTGGTAATAAATCTTCTTTTAAAATATCTTAATCTGTTGTCCACATACACGCAACACACATGTCATGCACATACACACTCTTGCACACACATTCACACACTTGTTTGTCTGCAGTGAGAAACAGAATCCAGATGTTACATTTCCATTGTCTATCTCCCAGGGAACTAAATGGTGTCACTGACCTTTATCAGATAGAGTGTGAGCTGACCTCCAATCTCACACTTAACTATGAGTCCCATGCTGGCCCCAGCAGTGTGTCTCCTATGACCAGCTGCACCCTATTTCATCATGAATGACCTCCTGTGTCCCAAGCAGAGAGCATGTCCAGACTCCTGATTTTATCACCAGTTGTGTTACTCCCTATTCCTCTTCTCCTCAGTGAATCTGTCAGAAAGAGCAAGAACAGAGACAATTTTGTAAATATAAATAATTATACTGAAATAATTTTTTAGTGTGTCCCTTTGCATGAGAATACTATGATTAATCATAAACCAACCTGGTTAAAGTCTGATGGACATTGTACATTTTAAACAGTGTCATTAACCGTAAATTGTTTATTACCTTGTTATATCTGTATACAAACTCAATTAGTGAAATTAAATACTAGATTATTTCACATTATTACATCATTTTCATTACAGGACACCTCCCAGGACCTAAAACTCAAACTTCAAAATGGCTTTATTTAATTGAACATCTAATTTTTCTCTTGGCTCTGAAGCCTAACTATACTAAGAACTAAGAATTGCAAAAAATATAGCTGGTATAATAAGTACAAATATTTTTCATGTAAAACTGTTCTTTGCTTTTTTTTTAATTTAATTTTTTGCTATGCAGAACGTCCCAGCTTTGTCCGTCGCCCAGGCAGCCAGGTGATGTTAGTAGACCAAAGTGTGGAGTTCAGGTGTGAGGCTCGTGGCGACCCAGTTCCCACCGTGCGCTGGAGGAAAGACGATGGTGACCTGCCCAAAGGAAGGTATGACTCATCAACTGCTCCCCTTTCCATCACAAAATACCATCCTCCCTCTCTTTGTTAGATCCAAATACATATTTGTTCTGTGTCATCAGATGACGCATGATGCATTAAGCCTGCTTATACACAGGTTTTGTTTATATGTCAACATTTGATACATGGATATTCGTTTTAATCCAGATATGAGATTCGTGAAGACCACACCCTGAAGATCCGTCGTCTGACTTCAGCCGATGTAGGCTCCTACACCTGCGTGGTCGAGAACATGGTGGGCAAGGCGGAGGCATCGGCCTCGCTCACCGTCCACGGTGAGAGAAAATACTGTGACCACTATCACCCTGTTCAGTATTTTCATTTACAGCCCCTTGGACAGCTATTCCTGGTGTTTTTCTATTTTGGGTAACTGTGAAGCCTGATTCAATTGCAATTTAGCCCAGCCACATTGCAATGATAGTCTGCAGCTTTACTACTATCGGGGCATCACTTTCACCTATTCTCTCTCAATTAGCTGATTGATTTATAATAAAAAAGAAATGCAAAAATCCATAATAGCTGTATAGTTGTGCACATGGGAGCTCAACAGCAATCGATTTCATTTGCCCTATACAAGTGGCATTTCTCCGGAGGCCTGTCTTCCGTCATGTTTTAAGACATACAGTACTATTTGTGAACCTATGGAATATCTGTGCGTTTCCTGTGGCCCTCTCCATTGGACTTCTTATTAACACAGTTGGAATATAAAGCAGCCGGTCACAGAGTGTGAACATTCAGAAAGAAACCATTCAGATGAACTGGGGGCTGGGATCACCCCTAAACCCTCCTGGGAATCAGAGGAACACAGGGGGGCATTTAACGGCAAACTAATGGGAATGTAGGGAGTCGGGTGAGGGAAGAAAGGAGGAAAGCAGGGGTCGGTTGAATGTATGGGAGATAGGGACAGTGAGTGTGTAGGTCTTGGTGGCAGCTCGCCACTGATGCAGAACAGGTTGGGAAATGGGGCTGGGGGCGATTGTGGTGAAGAGTATAGAGGGGGAGAGAGGTTTCTGCGGTGAGGTCAGTCATATTAATGTCACTCCCAGCAGTTAACACAGCAGAGATATAAAGAGACAGGGCAATTTTATTCCTGTGCCAACCCCCACCCACAAAGACAGATACTTCATCTTCACATGGCTACCCTTTGCAATTATTTCTTCATTTTCTCCACAAGACAGCAATCTTTAGATTGGTTTGAAGAGCAAGATTAGGCACACCTGCCAATACATCCATCAATATATCTACCCCTCTTATTGCCTTTGTTCACTTCCTATCCCTGATGAAAGCTTAGTTAATGAAAGGGAACAGCCTCGATGCACAATTCAATAAGCTGTTCTTCTAGCTTTGTACCATATTTGAAAGGCTACAACCTCCGTTGTCCTTATAGGAAATGAAATGTCTTGACCTCAGGCCCACTCCCTGTTGCCTACATGCAGAAGCAAGGCACTGGCCTTCTTTTCACTCATTATGCCTTTCAACCGCCATGTTATAAGAAATAGATAGACATGAAAACAAGAGTAAAAGCACCTAAATCAATTAAACTTTGGTAAACAAGGGCCTCTGCTATAGATTTAGGAAACAAAAATGCCAATGCTTTCTTAGGGCGTAAGTACAGGTTAGAGGCACAAGAGGAATAATATGAATTCTTATTATACTCTTAGATTGGACGGACAGCTGCACTTCCAAGATTTCAAAGTTCCTAGAACCATATTTTCTTCAGATCCCTGAGTTGATCCAGACCAGGACACGAGGAGGCCGGGAGGCTGTGGGCACTGAGTAGTCCAGCTAAGTAAAGACAAGCAGGCCACAGTCCCACGCCCGGAAATGACATGTTTGTAATGACAGATGCGGGCACAGAAAAGGAAAGAAAGGCCCGGTAATTGTAGTTCTTCAGAGGCCAAAGCAGTGAAACGATGTATAGGTAGTAAGATGCCGCTGTAGTGAAGACAACAGTGATGTGGCAGCAAGAGTTTAGTTTGTGATTTTAGTGGTCAATGCATAAAGAGTCAAATAATGGCAAGATTGCTGAGTCCCTGCATAGTAGTCAATGAACGGCTCAATAATATACCATCTATGGAATTGGTAGAACACCACAAAATGGGTAATCCAATATTCAAAGCCAAAGTGTAAAAATAATATAATAATTTTGTAACTTTTTACTGCTAAATGTGCAGTGACTTGTAAATGGATGTTAACACCAATGGAATTACAATCACATTTTTCTTCTAAATAGAAACTGGTTAGATATAGAATTCCTTCCCTGCAGTTTCATTATTCAATCTGCTTATCATTGCAATATGGTGTATGTGGTGTATAACATATTTGCAATGCACACCTCACACTTTTGGAGTAATTCTAAGCAAATCCCTTTTATGAGCTGCACGTTTGTGAGAAGAATCCAGCTCTGTGTGGACGGAGGGGGATTTTCACACCTTCCATGGTCAGATTGTCAGTGGACAATGTGGACATTGTGGAAGTGGTGCCCTGGGCTATTTGTCTTTCAACATGCTCTGCTCTTGTAACTAACTTAATCAGTGAATTATTGTCTTACACACGTTTGTCAGTCTACTACACCTCCTTTGGACTTATAAATATGTCAAGTAAAATAGTTCATTGATTGATGGAAGAAACGCATAATTGGCTAAGTCACCAGTGGTATTTATAGTTTCATCGTAAAATCATTCATCTAAGCCACATGAGAAAGTAGCAGTGTGAGGGACTGTTCAGCTGTTAAGTCTGCTTAGTTTGTGCGTACACTGGGGATTGTGTGTTTTGAAAGACTTAAGAATCAGGCAAAGGCATTTTGTTCTGGTTCTGGTGTGGTTAGATAATGTTTATAGAATATTTTGTTAATTAAACTTCAACAGCGGACTTCAACCATAGGAATGTAAATACATTGTTTTAGACTGCAGGCCTATTGGACAGTGTTCAGAAAATCAACGTGTTATTTTTCCTCAGCTGGTTAAGTTTGCTATAAGCAGTGATTTATGTGTAGGAAGGTCTTGAATGGAATGGTAGTCCCCAGAGCAGCGTTGCTAATAACCCATGTAAAGGGTCTGGAAGGAGACTTGGAACTGGTGCCAAAACAGAGCGGGGGGGAGGAACTTTCCTGTCAGCCAACTGCATGCTGTTACAGTGATGATAAATACCAAAACCTGGTTGGTTGCAACATATATAACTGATGCTTTGTATTGGTCTACTGTATATCTGTTTCCCTGCATTTGATTAAACCCAACTGTTGAGTAGACTTTCATTGTGTATTAGTACAAATTACTAGAGAAGGACGGGCATTTACAGCATGCTACAGAATGATTCATATTAATCATGCATGCTTTCCTACTCGTGTTGATTTCAGTCGCACTGAACAGCAGCACGGCTCAATTTAATCTCACTGCTGTGGTCTTTGGTTCATAGCATGCCTCCTATTGGGCTGGAGGTCATCATGCTCAGTGTGTTTTTCCTCAGTCGCTCTGATGATAGAGACTCCCTTCTGCCCTGTAAGCTAGCGGAACAGTCCACAGAAAGTAGCCTGGTCAGATTTAAGACTCACCTCTGCCTCCAGGTCCACAACTGTGATCACAGCAGCATGGGAGAGGTAGGGTTACCTAATTAAAGGCTTAGACACACATGAATGGATGTGTATAGGTGTTGTAGAGGGGCTTGTGTGTTTGTGGGTGTGTATGTTCTCATGATTGTCGCACACAGATAGCAGTGAGCGTCTTTTTCTGGAAGCGCTTGATGCTAGTCTTATCTGCATTTTAAAGGCCAGCATGGGGCGGAGGGAAGGGGTGGTCATTACTCTGACAGACAGCGTTTATGTTTCCGTGGGAGCCGTTGAAGCAGACAGATTAGATAAGGTGAGTGATTGGCCAGGGGAGATTTATGGCCAAAGAGTGACAGTTAACATTCACCTTGTGGTTTTACGAACCAGCCTAACATCGGCAAGGCTGTGTTTGAGGGACTGTGAGGCAGCTGCTCCTCAGGATGCTCCAAACCTCATTAAGGGTAGAGGGACAATCACCTTAGACTATATCTGGATATTAGTGGAAAAAAGTAAACAGAAAATTATAATTGCAAAAACAACATCTGTCCTGTGTATTTCATTGTATTCTTTGTGCTTTTTTTGTCATTTATTGTACCTAATCCAACCTTTTCCTGTCCTTGAGTCACGAAGATTAAGAGGGATGATTAATCAAATGTTTTCATTTATCTCTGTACATTTGTAATTCATTCTTGATCACTGATTTTAATTTGTTATTGCTGCATATCACATTGTCCCTTGGTTTTGAGTTGAGGTTGAAATATGACATATCCTTGTTTTATAGAAAAATAATGACATGATTGTTTGTACCCATTGACATCACATTGTTATTTTCCTTATCCCTCCTCTGTATATTTCATGCTGTTTTATTATTTATTTATTCATCTTTGGGTTTTGTTGTTGTGTTTTTGTTTCCTTTTTAGTTGTGTCTGGTAAGTTGAAATGTCACCCGTCACCTATTCACCGCACTGACAGAGACAGGAAGCTGTCACAACCCCCCCCTCCATCCTCCTTCCATCACTTCTCCACCCTCCAATCAGCAATCATGTTTCTTTTGTCATGGGCAACAGTGACAAAAGGACATTAATGGGTAAAAATATGCTCAGCTTGGGCCTCCAAGGTAAAGCCGCATCATTTCATTCTATTATTTCCCCCTTTATGCATTACCAAACAGCCCATCTTATTCATGGACAAATTATGTCTGTATTCCAAATGACAGCTTTCAGATTGCCTTTCTTTATGTATAACACAGCCCCTGCAGATAACACATTAAAATATTTGCAGATTTATGATATTTTAGCAGCAATACAGAGTGAAGTTGTAAACTGGCCCTCCTCTGAACCTCTGCACTCAGGCTGTGTCCTTGCATGAATGGCCTATTAGACCAGCAAGGCCTAATGTCACCGCAGAGCTGCTTGGACGACCTTGGGCTAGAACACCAGACTTAGTCTGAGATGAAATGTGTCATTAAGATGCATGGATACTGCATTCTGGTTGATGCCTGCACTATTGGAAGGTGTCAGCATGGACAGATGGCTCAAATGTATTCCTCATTTCCATGTAAATTTTAATGGTCCATGCCCTTGCCCATGCAAATGAGGGGGCATGGGAGTAACCGTTGTTTTCTCTATTCATTATCTACAATATGCCTGCATTTTGAATATAATCAGCAGACTGGTTAATCTGCTGTGCACACACTGTGCAAAGTTTTGAAGAGAGCCTGAATTCAGTAGCTGTAGTCAAACGCCTTGTGTCTTTCATTCAAATATTCAAATGACCCAGACTAGTAACTGTTATATTATGATAACTATAATAATATATGGTGTGTTTTCTATTCAATGGCTAACCATTCTCATGTCTGTCCTGCAGTGCCACCGGCTTTTGTGGTTAGACCAAGGAACCAGGTGGTGGGGGTTGGCAGAACCGTCACCTTTCAGTGCGAAGCCACTGGAAACCCACAGCCAGCCATTTTCTGGCAGCGGGAAGGCAGTCAGGTAAACAAACTAAACTACAGTAAACATTTCCATTTCAAAACACTTTGTATACATTTGTAGAACCTGCCCATACTCAAGTGAAGCTACAGAAATAACTTATTTATGGTTGCATGCATATGTCTATTTGCCTGTCCAATAAACGTATTCTTGCCAAATATCAGTTAATAAAAGTCTTACTGTATGTGATGTTATCCCCCACAGAACCTTCTGTTCTCCTACCAACCTCCTCAACCATCCAGCCGATTTTCTGTATCTCAGTCTGGGGACCTGACCATCACGGATGCCGAACGCTCAGACATGGGGTACTACAGCTGCCAGGCCATCAACACTGCTGGCAGCGTCCTCACCAAGGCTCTGCTAGAGATCACTGATGGTGAGCAACCTCCTTTGAATCCCAGTGTCTGCATACACAGCAACGTCTCAAAGGGAATTAGAGGAAAACTGAAAGCAAACTTGAGTGGATAAATATTGGTATTTCGTATAATCTTTGGCTCATGCGGATAATGCTGTTCATCTGAACTGCTGTGGTCTTGCCGTAGAGCATATTAATATCCAAATTGAGGTTTGTGAGGTTCGGTCTGGCCTGTTCAATGTGTTCCTGTCAGGGGGAGAGACTCTCTGGTGCCTGTGCACCCAGACCGTGGCTCAGTATTTGGCTTCGCTGGCTTCACACTGGCTAATGTCTCCTTCGGTATTCCATTGCTGGCTTGCTGCTGTCGACCGTTGGAAGACTGTGGCTGTGTGGTGAGGTCTGGATTGGGTCCTCTAATTACTTTGCTAGCCAATCCCTGTCAGCCTGGTGGACCAACCTTGGCTTAATTTCCACCATTCCCACAGAGATCTGGGCAGCTATTATTTTGTCTATGACACACCTAGATTCATCCCTTCATTTACCAAATATCCTTCTTCATTTCAGGCCTACAATGGTATGCTCCATCTCTCGCTCTCTCTCCTTTTCTCATTCTGTTATGCTCTCTGGATAATAATGACAGTTATTAAAGTGAGAAGGCCGCGCTGAGGCCACTACTTCTCCGCAGGCAGATCTAGTAATTACAGGTCATGCTGACAATGTTTTAGTAATTGCACCATCCCCGGCAAAAAAAAAGCAGAGACAAAGCGGCCCAGAGCGGCCCCAGATTACCACAGCATGGTTCTCAGGATCTATCGCACATACAAGCCTGTTTTGCCTTTTGCTGTGAGGTATTCATTTGATTGCTCCTCATGAATGTTACTCACTAGTTAATTATTGGGGCTGACAGAAATGGTTATCAATAGCGCCATGAATGAAAATAATGGTACAGAGCAGGAAAATGATGATTCAGACGCAGTAGAGACAAAATAAAAGAGTGCTTTTATTTAAAGTTTATCTCGTATTCCTTTCTTCTTGTCTGCCCATTACAGCCTTTCTATTTCTGTCAAGAACAGGCTACATCTTTGTTTTTGTGAGTACTGGATGAAAATACAGGGTTTAAAGGCAGGAAGGGGGAGTTTAAACACCCTCATGCTAATACCATTGTATGTTCTAGCTAGATGTTTTTTTGGGGGGATTTTTTCTCCCTTGTTTTGTGTTTTATGGCTGGGGGATGGGCCAGGGGATTGTTGGCTGCCACTGTGCATATGGGTAGTGCCAGGCGTCTGTTAGAGCTGCAGCGAGAAGACTGAAGTATCTGAGGCTGTTTCATATTAATTACGCTGCTTTTATTTGGCTAAGTTCGACTCCTGCTGCTGAATGATTAGAAAATTGTTTCCAGTTCATAAAATTGGATGTAATTCCACTCGCACTACCCTTACAGTGTTCACATGCTAGAACATTGCTACACGCTGTTTGGCAGATTCTATGCCTTTTGTGTCTTTTCTCTCACACAGGCTGGAGGTAATTGTCTGAATCTGTTGTCCATACTACAGCACATGAACACCTTCACAGTTTTTTCCCACCACCTTCCACATAATTGCTCATTCTCCTTCCTCCTTCCACAGTTGTGTCGGACCGCCCGCCTCCAGTTATCCGGCAGGGCCCGGCCAATCAGTCAGTAGCTGTGGACGGCACAGTCATCCTCAATTGTGTGGCAACAGGAAACCCCACCCCCACCATTCTGTGGAGGAAGGATGGTGTGTTGGTGTCCACACATGACTCCAGGGTCAAACAGCTGGACACAGGCGCATTACAGATCCGCTATGCAAAGGTAAGACACCTGCTGTCACATGTATAAACATGCTCTGATCCCTTTCTACCATTAAGCAAAGTAAACACTATGCACAGCGCCCAGTACTGTTCTGTGGAGTTCATTTGTAATTTGACTATGAACATATAAACTTGCCTTACTATCGAAATATTTCAATTTTTTTTATTTGGCCAGCTTTAATGTCTAAATCCATTCAAATAAACTTCAAAGTTGTCCATATTACATCCATAATGTGATGGGAAAACTCCTGCTGGTTGGTAAATAAAGCTTGTATTCCCTGCCAAGATCCAGCCCTCAGTGGGCTGTCAGTCAGTTGTCGCGGGTTCAAAATAGAGTCTGTGAAGTTGAACAGTCTGTAGTTCCTGTCAGTCAGCAAGCTAACACAGTGGGTTTTATGTGTGTGTGTGTGTGTGTGTGTGTGTGTGTGTGTGTGTGTGTGTGTGTGTGTGTGTGTGTGTGTGTGTGTGTGTGTGTGTGTGTGTGTGTGTGTGTGTGTGTGTGTGTGTGTGTGTGTGTGTGTGTGTGTGTGTGTGTGTGTGTGTGTGTGTGTGTGTGTGTGTGTGTGTGTGTGTGGTGGCAAGCTGCTTGATGCTGAACACACTCATAGGCAGAAACAAGTAGGGGGTGCTGACGTGTCTTCCAGATGGAGGCGTCACAGGGTCAGAGGTGGCGTCAGTTTGCGGTGTTCTGAATGAATGCAGGCATGTCTTGTGGTGACAGGAGCGGCAGTATGATTGGGCCGCCAGTGTGAGGCAGGCAGGAGGGGATGCGTCTGAGCCCCTCTCCTGCTGCAGCCCAGTCCGCAGGCACTTTAAATAATGAACTTGTCATTTCTACCTGACAACATTTTAATGAAGATGTTTTTGATGCGTGAGGTAATATATTTGATTAATGTCGCCTGAGAGTTATTATTTTTGAATGTTAATACATTTTCATACTCACCAGATTAAATACACACATTCAGGGTCATTGGTAGGACATGTTTTCAATTATTCCGATTTTTTGTTTTGTTTACACTCCCTAACGGTAGCATTTAGTGTACTATGCATTACCAGAAAAGCAGAAATATTTAAAAAATGCAGCAGTGTGAAAATATACAAAATACCTTTGCCATCAGGGTTATTGTTGGTGTTTTGTTTAATAGCCTGTTGGCAAGCAGACCATTCCATTTTTTTTTTAACCTTCTTCAATCGAAAGGCAGTGACCTAAAATACTTTTTTTTATCTGGATACAAAAAACAGGTGTCAATCCAATATTCTTTGAAACAACATGTTTTTCAATTTTCTCAGGACCTATTGCACTCAAAGGCCTACAAAGAAATGTATAATCCCTTTAGGGTCTTTCTGCTTTGTGTAGTTCCTGTTCTAAAACATAACTACAAATAAAAATCACTCAGTGAACTCTAATCTCCTACTTATAAGTGACAAAGAAAAAGTAAAGAGTGAGGCAATGTTAATAAAAGTATATTAATAACCAATGTTCTACTTTATATCTTTAGTGTAGCTTGTCACCACATTTGTTGCACAGAGCAGTCACTTCCATGTTTGGAATAGTAGAGAGAGAATAAGGTCCCCAATTAGTCTATGATCCTGTGAAAATCTTTTCCATTTGACTAGGAATGTTCTGCCACTTGGCCTCTCCAGCTGCTTTCCTCAGGTTCTGTTGTAAAAGGCATGACATTGAGATTATCAGGCATTGACAGCTGCCTGCTACGACTTCACCAGAATGTCAATAAGCAGAGCATTGACGGTGGGGGGAGACAGTATGTGGCAAAAGCGGGAAATAGACTCTTACCAGTTCAAGAGACTCTGACATGCATTTAAATAATTTCCATTTAACCAAATATTCTTCTCTGTTTTCCCGGCAGCTTGGTGACACTGGTACCTACACCTGCATCGCATCTACACCGAGTGGAGAGGCCTCATGGAAAGCCTACTTAGAGGTTCATGGTAAGACTAACCAATAGGGAGGATAAGTGCCTCTCAGTGTACTTTTTCAAATTGCGTGATATGTTTGTGATATTCCTTTGTGAAAGTCAAATGGTAAAGAGGTATATGAAGTTTGGAGATGTTTTGCATACCTTTGTTTACTGTGATAGCAATAAACTACATGTTCCTTTATTTCTTTCTTTTACTATGTTCTAAATTAAGAGTTTGGAGTTCCAGTTCAGCCAAACAGGCCCACTGACCCAAACCTGATCCCCAGTGCCCCTTCCAAACCTGAGGTCACTGATGTTACCCGCACCTCCATCTCCCTTTCCTGGAGACCTAACCTTAATGCTGGAGCCACGCCCACCTCCTATATAATAGAGGCCTTCAGGTAAAACTAAACAGCAATGATCAATAAACCAAACAACTGCGTGGTGTTAATGACAACTTTGAAACCTTAATTATTTTGTTGTGTGTTCACAGTCATGCATCAGGGAGCAGCTGGCAAACCTTGGCAGAGCATGTGAAAACTGAGTCATTTGTACTGAAGGGCTTGAAGCCCAGTGCAGTCTACCTCTTCTTAGTACGGGCAGCCAATGCCTACGGGCTGAGTGATCCCAGTCCTATCACTGAAGCTGTGAAAACACAAGGTGAGGGCTGCCTTTTTACTGATATGAAATTCATTTACAGCACCAAAGTGTTGTGGTTTTTCTGTAGTTTAACTCAATATCATTTTTTTTTTTTTTTTAAATCTGTGCTTCTGCATACAGATATCCCTCCCACCAGTCAGGGCGTGGACCATCGTCAGATCCAAAGGGAGTTGGGAGAAGTGCTTATACACCTTCACAACCCAACCATTCTCTCCTCCTCATCTGTCAGGGTGCAGTGGACCGTGAGTATAATGCTCTATCAATGCACTGTTGTGACTTTTTTTTCTTTAGACAGCTGCAGCCAGCCACAGATTGCCATATGGATCATTAGTATAGCTGGTCACCAAAGCTCCAAGGTTAGTTTAGTGATATGCCCCATGGTCAATTTGCCAGGCCACTCAGGCGAGCTAATGTGCTAACGTCCTAGCACCCTTCAGAGGAAGGACACTGCAGACAGCAGCTTGGAACACAATCCAAGTTTTCTTATTGTCCATCTGGCATGAGTCTGAAAATGGTCGACTGGCCTGAGACCAAAAATGTGCAGCTTCGCCCACAGTGGACCACTCAACCGCCCAAAAACTTAACTACAGAGCCTAGCCTTCTGCAGGCTATATTGTACCGCATAGCAGTGTGTGGCGTGCCAGCCTGTGCCCTCTCAGATTGAAAACACTTGATGGCTGTTAAAATAATACAAGTGAGAAGGAAGAGGCGGCCAACTCATGCTCTTAAGTGGAAATGGCTTACAGATGTTAAAACGGATAGGTGGGAGAGGAAGAAGTAGAAGTAGAACTGGGAGCTTATGGTGGCTTTCCTTAACTGATAGCCTAAAAGCTCCAAATGAAATACTAACGTCCACCTGAAATTGATATGGTTAATGTATCGTTTTTTTTATTTTACGAGACTCTATATCTATACTGTCCACCTAGATATTGGTCTGTTGGATGGCTTACTGAAAGGAAAGAACAGTCCTGTTTTGCCTTTTGACATAGGGCCACCCCTACATTCTCTAGTATTATGAAGTGCCACAGTGAGTGATGAATGGGACCGAGGAAACGTGAAAAGGATACTGACATGTCAAGACTGATTTAAAACATTATTGCCCAGTTACCCTGTCTCCCTGGAATGTTCCAAAAAAACACATGATACAAGAGAGAATTACAATATAGTAAAACGCCACGGTATCCTTGTTTTGTGGGGTTAAATCTATTCCCAATGTGGAGTTTCTTGGTTTTACATTTTCCTTTGTGTTGTGGTAAATGGTTGCACAGTTTCAGGCTAATGAAGACCACCTGAGCCGGCAGCATATTTTACGGGGGAGGGATAAAGAAATCACTAAAATCTTTACAAGCCATTGCTGCCTGCCTTCCACAGGGAGTCGTATGGATATTAGCATACGGGTTAACGGTTATTCTTCTCTCTAACCATGCTGGGTAACGGAGCAACGTTTTATTAATAAGCTGCATCAGATGCTGTTAAACTTGCATTTTCAACTTCTGGAACTCAGTATAAAGATTCACTTCTCCCCCTCTTCCTTGACACTAGCAGCCAGTCAGTACACTGGAGAGCAGGACAGGATGAGACAGGCTGTTCTGGGAGCCTGGGCCCTGTTTAACCAGCTCCAGACTTGGAGGAACCTCTGGCCAATGACCTCATACTGTGGTTGCACAAATCGCTGCTGCTCCAAATGGCGCATAGACAGACAGTTGAAAAAGAGAGATGTAGATACGGATGGATACACAGAGGGGTGATGTGATGAGTTAGCACCCCATTTCATCCAGTGCCTGGCGTATCAGCAATCCATAGCTGTCAAGTCATACAACATTTATAACAATACTGTGTTATATTCCACTGTGAAGCATCTAATCAAACTCGCACTCACACCACCTTTTTTTTTCGTTCACAAGGTGGAGCAGCAGTCGCAGTACATCCAGGGCTACAAGGTGATGTACAGACCTTCACCGCAGGGGCTACAGAGGAGTGAGTGGGCTGTGTTCGAGGTGCGAACCCCCGGGGAGGACAGCGCTGTTGTGCCGCAGCTTCGGAAAGGAGTCACATACGAATTCAAAATCCGCCCCTTCTTCGATGAGTTCCAGGGAACAGACAGTGATATCAAAATTGGCAAGACGCTGGAAGAAGGTGGGGGGATGCGAATGAGTGTGACTGTGCGCGAGTGTGCTTGCATGTGTGCATGCATGTTTCCATGTTTACACTATTTTATATGCTCAGCTCGCATGTGTGAGAGCATACAACAGCTGTTCACAGCAGGCAGTTATGGCAGGATTATGGTATGTTCAAATGTGGTGTATTCAAGCATGCTAGGGTTAGGGTTGATGTTCACCTCTTTAAAAGGCCCTATGGAACCCCATATATATAAGTATCATACTAATTTCTCATAGGGTGTGGTTGTGGCAGTCTCATGAGGTTTGGTTGAAACCCAAGTGTGAATTTTAATCTGTAGCAAACAGTTAAGATAAATGTGAGTGCATAGTGTTTACGACAGTGTGTCTATGTTTGTTGCATGCGTGGGAGTGTTTCGATCTATTTTTGCTGGATTCTCCTTTGTTCCTAGTCTTGTTGATAATTGTTTTTGGAGCAGTTAAAACAATGTTTGTTCTCCTTGAAGCAGAAAAAGGCAGTTTTTATAACACCCATTCACACTGTGATTACAGCTTTTTTGTCGCATTGGTAATTATTTCAGTTTAATTACCGTTGGACCACAGGTTGGCGTTCACACACTAACATACACCCGCCATCATAACTCCCTGTGTGTTTTCAGTAAACAATTACATGTTATATACCCACAAGAGCACTTGTGTTAAACAAACCCCGTTGTCAGATAAAAGCATTGCAATTTTGATTATTGCTCTTTTGTTTTCACCTCAGCGTTAGTCTCAAACAAAGATTGTGACAGCTCAATGTGATGAGGGGAAACTGGGAGAGACTGCATGCAGTTATAAAAAAAACTGTCTCATGTATGAAGGTGTGTTTTTTATATTTTGTCTACCCCCCTCAGCCCCCAGTGCCCCGCCTCGTGAGGTTACAGTGACGGAGAGTGAGGACAATGGGACCGCCATCGTGGTCTCCTGGCAACCCCCTCCAGAAGAGGAACAGAATGGGGTGGTCCAGGAGTACAAGGTAAAAAAACTGCAGCTACCTTTGTTCTGAGCAAGTGGGACTTGCATTGTAGAAACACACAAAGGAGACACAAACAAGGATGCAGACAGAGCAGATAACAGAGAGAGAGACAATGCACAGACATGGAAAGGTAATGAATTCCTGGTTGAGGCGCACCTTTGTGCTCTTCCAGCGTGTGACAGGCTCAGAGACCAGACAGGGAAGGAGTCAAAAGCAGGGGAACTGGTGGAAACTGTTGTAAAACAGTGCCATCTGGTGGAAAGGGTAGGCTCATACATCTTGTGGCACTCGTAGGGTGAATATTGATGAGGAGGCAATTTCAGCTGTAATTATTGATGGGTTCCTTTTTTGCCTCTTATATTAGTTTGGCCTTAAACTGGTGACTACTAAGTTATTGTGTGTGGAGATAAAATTATAGGCCATTCATGACATGTTTCATATAGATTTTGTATAGATTGATCTTGATCATATTTGAAACATATAATCGCACTGGTAAAAATGAAAATGAAGATACAAAAAAACGTTTACTCAAGGTATTACCAGGCTTAGTAAAGACATGAATGAAAACATAGGTAAATTTTTGGATATTAGATTAACGGACTGAAGCTATGATAATGACCAATGATCAAAGACATGACAAAGAAGAGATAGACCTAATTTATCATTTTGTTGGTCCTCTTTTCTTCGTCCTTCCTTTATAATATACGTGCACCTGTAATATTGACCTCCCTCTGAATCCACTCTAATGTTATGCTGTGTAAGTCCTGTATTTTAATTGGAACACCTTTAACGGTGCAGGGAATATAGGTTAGTAGCAGGAAGGTAGATGAGGCAGAGCCAATGAAAATGTTAAGCCACTGTTAATTTTCTACGTAAATGTTCTCTGGTGATAGGCTTTATAGTAATTTCATGGTTTTTAAGTCAGGCTCGAGAGCGTTCCACAATCATTTCAGAGCCCGGTCCCTAGCGGCCCTTTCCACTCACCGCAATTTTTAAGATACACAGAAAATGTCAGGGCTTTGTAGTTCCATCACAGAAGTGGAAACACACACACACATGCACATGGTATAGTACACACCAAGGGAGGTTTATATGTTAACCTGGGTAACTGCTGGGTGGAGGTAGGGGGTAAAGAAAGCAGAATGTCAGGGGTCCAGGATGTGGAGGTCTCCAGGCCTCATGCTGAGGTGAATGTATGCTTCTCTTTGTGGCCCTGGTGTGAGTCAGCCTGCGAGGCAGCGCTCCTTCCTGGGAGTGACAGCACTTAGCTTCTGCTGAAATTGGGTTATGGAGGTGATTACTGATCCCCATTTGTTTTTCATGGGTTTAAGGCTACACAGAAACGTGTTATGGCTACCTCAGCTAATACTGACCCTGTGTTGCGCAGCCTTTAAAACATAAAGCCATTTTGTCAAATGTTTTCCTAGCTCAGAGATGTAATTCAATACCTGTGTTGTCCTGAAATGTTCCAATAGCAGTACCAACCAATTATCTGGACACAGATTGGTGGCAGCTACCAAACTGGATGTTGTCACGAAACCTTCATAACATTGCCTCACTCTTTACTTTTTCTTTCTCTCTGTTATGGCAGATTTGGTGCTTGGGGAATGAGAGCAGGTACCATATCAACCGCACAGTTGACGGCTCAGTCTTATCCCTGCTCATTCCCAGTCTGGCCCCAGGGATCCGCTACAGCGTGGAGGTAGCAGCCAGCACCGGGGTGGGTCCCGGGGTCAAGAGCGATATCACCTTCTTCCAGCTTGGTGAGTAGAAACAACCTTTTTTTTCTCTCTCACAGGAGGTCGTATCATTGTTTATCCTTTCTTTCAGTGGATACATTTGCTGTGTTTCAATGTCTTCATCCTTGTGCAATCCTACCAGTCAGAATGAAAACCAAATGTCTAACAAATATTTAACGCATTAATCCAGTCACCCCAAATTAAGAGCTTTTTAGTTTATATGACATTCTGCCAATAAAACATATATTTTTGTAATTCCTTTCTTTGTAGTGAATGTTTAAGAATCTGCCTTTTTCCCTTTCTTTATCAACAGCGCTCTAAAACTGTAATTGAAGTGATTACGTTTTTTACAAGCATCCTAAAACTCGTCACAGAATAGGATGACGTTTGAATGGTAGAACACTTTTACAGGTTTGAGCACTGCAATGGCTATTAGCTGCCAGTTGCTGGTAGCCTGATCCACGTGGGCACATTAAATTCCTGGGTGGCAGCTGTTGAGCTGGCTGCCCCACCCTGCTCTGCTCTCCACTCAAGAATGCAATGTTTTCTGTCTGTGCTTCAAACAACAAAGGCAATAATGAATCCTGCACTCTGGGCTCAGGCATAACATATTATTAGTTTTAAGAAGCACACTGCAGACTTCAGTGGGGCTTGTTGTTATCATTTTTATCTCCACTAAAGAGCAGAGAAATAGGGAGAGATAGAGCTCCATCTGGTTTTGAATCTGTGATTGAGTGGGCTGGGATAGGCATGAAGAAGCATCGGCTGTGACTGATACAATTTCCCTCCCTTGAAGAGTTCCTGTGGTGATGGTTGCCATGTTCCAACACTGGAGTGGAACAATGTGCCTTGGGGACCAGCGCTTCACCAAATGCATTTGTCACACTCTGAGCTTGTATGCGTCATGCCAGCCTAGATACCTGTACAGTCCCTTGTGGGCTGCTTAGTCACATTGGCATGCTCCGTTCATTCGGCCAGAACAAGCCTTAAATTGAGAAGACAGAGGAGTGAGGAGAGAGGCAGTGTGAGGCGTTCATGGGCTGAGCGACTGAGACAAAGACAGACAGAGTGATGTGGAGGGGGAAAGGCAGAGAGCTGGTTTCATTGGGGAAGTGTTTCCGCCTCTGGCTTAGAGAGTTTGGTAGAGGAGAGTGGCTGCAACATGAAAGACTTGAGCAAAAGAGATGAAGTCAAAATAACACGAACACGAAGAAGTTTCAGAATGGCGGGGGCTGGGGCAAACCCAAATAAGTCTTTCATGTACCGTGCATGAGGGAGAAGCACAGAGAGAATAGACGGATGAGAAAAACAGACCGAGAGCGCGGGTTGTTGTGAGCAGCCGCACAGACGGTGCCTTTACACTGCATTTCACAGTAGCAACAGCTCAAGGCATTCACACCTCAGCTTTTCACAGATGTGCCTCAGTTTGCTAATTACTGTGGTGACTGTGTTTGAGGATGATCTCATTGGATTTATTTACATGATTATGAAACAACCAATGCTCGGTGTAAATGACGCACAGGCTCAGTTTGAATGTCTTTGGTTGCTTTCGTCGGCTCACCTGCCACTGTTGACTGGGATTTGAGATGAAAGCCTTTTGAATAATATAGAGAAACGACTCCCATTTCCACTACCCAGCCTCCTACACACCCACTGAGAGTCTTTTTGTTCGTCAGGAGGAGGAATTTTCATATTTATGTACTGTGCTGCCTCCATTTATTTTAGATATATTTCCCTATTTCAGGCTCTTGCACTTGCTTTGAGTTTTAAGCTTTAAATAACATTTCTTTCACTCATCTCTGCTGTTTTCATATTCCTTATTCCCTTTATTGCATGGGTGCTATATTATTTGTACCCCCACCACATGTTTTTTTCTTCTAATTCTGCTCTGAAATCTCCTCCATTCCTGATTCTCAGATGCATCTGGGCGAATGACAGAGACAGGGATCCAAGAGAACCCCCTTTCCCAGCAGATCTCCGATGTTGTCAAGCAGCCGGCCTTTATAGCCGGCATAGGAGCTGCGTGCTGGATCATCCTCATGGTCTTCAGCATCTGGTTGTATAGACACCGAAAGAAGAGGAATGGCCTCTCCAGCAGTTATGCAGGCATTCGCAAAGGTAAGGACACAGTGACCATTACCACGTGTATCCACTTGAATTTCTGATTCACAGTGCTGGTTTAAGGTTAGAGGTTTTCTCAATTACAAAATAGTGTAAGAACATGCAACCACCATCTTCTGCACAGAAGCTTCCTCCGATCCTGCCTGTCACAAACTGACATATGTCTATCTAGAGTGCTCTAGGTGAAGTCTATCTGAACGTGCTCTCCAGTAGGGATGTGACGTGAGTTCCCGCTGAGAGTGCTGCGTGAAGACGTCTTTTATTTATTTTTCATATTTCTGTCACACTGATCCTGCAAGGGGGTGTGAAGTGTTTTTCAGTAAAGTACATGTTCAGGTCCAACAACTGCCCTTTTAGCAACTCCCTTTTGACAGAGCTGGGAACGAGAGAATGTCTTACCATAATACATCTTTATCAAGGACATGCTGACATTTTCACATGCTTGAAGTAATCTTGCTATCTTTTCAGATCTGGAGGAGTTTTGCATTGAGCAATCTTGCTTATAGTGTCTGCTTATCATACGTTTGGAAAAACACAACAATTCATACCCATGTGTATTTGGGCTGTATTTCAACCCTCTTAGAGTAGCCACAGCGTAACCCAGTGTGTTTCTTTACCTGAATGAGCCGAAGTGACAGGGTTCATGACATGTCCAACCTCTGCCCATAATTGTTAAGATTTAAAAGAGAGCTATTAGCCTTTCTTTCTCAGTCTCATTTATGTGTGGGCTGGCTTAATGTGTGGCCTTGGGCTCTGCAGCTGCTGCCTGTGAGCGCTACCTACACCATCCACAGTCATTCACTGAGGTTTACTGCTGTGTGCCAGGGCTAGATGAGATCCACCCTTCAACCTTGACACAAACACACATAAACACAGACAGAAGACATGCTAACGGTGAGAGTTGTGAGTCATGTGAAAGTGAGAGACACATAGCTGTGTGTGGTTGATAATGGTCAGAACTGTTACCTGTTTCAGTCTTTATATAGTCATGAACATCTATGATATGATATCTATGATAGTATGACATTCCTAATGATATTGTGAATCAATTGTATTAAAGTCTGACAACACACTAATGCTTTTATGTTGTTAGACATCTGAAAAGTATTATTTTAACATTGGTAAAAACAGAGGTTAAACACAGGGAATACAGTAATATAGAATTGTAACTTTAAAGGCTCAAAAGTAATGATCTGTGGCCTGAGGCAGAGACGAGTGTGTAGGCTGAGGTAACCCGCTGACTCTCTTTGATTCTGTATGTTGATGTTTACTCACACAAACTCACACAGCTCTTCAGAGGCACAGTAGGCAGACATGACCCCCCTCCTTCTTCTCCTCCTCATGCACCCAGACCACAAGAGGCCACGATCTTTGTTGGAACTGGTTACTAAGAATGTTTTGAAAAGAGTATAATTGCAACCACATGAAGCAACAATCTGCACACAGGGTGAAATAGGCTGAACTGGGACGTGTGAATGTGTGTGCCACAGTGTGTCTCTTATACGTAGTTGCATTTGGAAACTGAAAATACCTTTTTTACCTGCCAAGGGATGCAATCATGCAAACCTTAAAGTGATAATGCCTTCCCATTGTATAATACACTCTTTTACGCAGTGCTGCATAAATCCTCAAAACAAATCTTGTTAGTGAAATGATCAGTACCAGGAATTAGAGTACAATCAATATATGCATTTCAATCTAATTTGGATTTCTCACAGGCAGTTAAGCCTTCCAAGTGCTAGTCTATCCCCCTTCCCAGGCATTCAACCAACAGATTAAAGCCACCCGACTGCACATATCTTTAGACTTGGTTGAGCATCAAGAGCTGAGAGATTCAAACATGATAGGGTGATTGTTGCATTTAGAGGACATTTTTTGGAACAGGTAATGTATGAATGTATTGTTCCAGGAAATGGAAATGTGATAACAACGTTGTTGTCCTTCTCCGATGTCTCGTACTTAGACAGCAACAATACTTTCATCGTAAGGCAGTGCTCTGCATGACTACCAGCATAGTGCAATGTTGCATCAACTTCAATGCATGGTGTAGTGTTCTTCAATTCTTCACAAAGGAAACCAACAAATATGTTATAAGATACCAACAACAGCCACTACAGAATCTAAATCTGCCCACAGTGTATTACTGTTTTGCAAAAGGGCCCCTTCTATGCTGAAGTGTGAGTAATTGAGCTGTATGGGTTATAATGTGAGTAGAGATAGCAACATATATCTCCCAAGTGTGTGACCCCGCCCAGCAGGCCTCTGACAGTCTGAGCCAGGATTTGAACCAGCAGCTGGCTCAACACTCACTTTCCCCCAGTTGGGGTCCAGAGATGTCTGCAGGGATCAAAGACAAGGGGCCAGCGAGTAGCGTGTGAATACAGGCTAAAATACTTTTTGAGGATTTGTGTACTTAAACAGAAACTATGTGGCGATGAAGCCCTTTGAATTATGTCCCAGGAACTCGTTCCAGACAGTGTCGATGCAAAAATACTTCAGTAATTTAATTTATTTTTTGTTTCTGTCCCAACAGTTCCGTCATTTACTTTCACACCAACCGGTAAGCACTTCTATTTTCTCTTTTTCTTTCTTCATAATTAAAATAAGGGATGCCTGCTTTTATTGATTCACTTTACACCAGCTTTTTCCCTTTATTTGTTGAACACTTCTTTTAATGGCCAGAGTCCAAATAGATGAGAGCCATTACATCTGGAAAAGTCAACAAGGGACACTCGGTGTCTACCAATTAAACGAGGCAAACATTTGCACAGTTTAAAGATCTACCAAGAAATAAATGTTCCACCAAATGTTAGGGTCGTGTCAGAATGTAATGCTTAAAGAGAAGCAGGCCGCACTTCTGAGAGGCTGCTTAAACTAGTGGTAACTTGATCAAAGGGCTGCTGGCAACCTCCGATGGGATTTAAGAGAATGACACACCACCAGCACTCCAACACACCAATTAGATAAAAAAAAGAGAAAAAGCAGAAGAAAAAAACAGATAGAAGCAAGTATGTATTTACAATCCTTCTTATTTAATCTGTCTGAAGAACTTTGTTCCCTAGAGGTGTTAGGAGTGCTTAATACAATGGTGAATGGTTGAGAGGAATTCAAAGTGAGGGCAGGAGAAGAAGAGTGAGTCAAACAATAATGTACAGTTTGTGGTAACATTGGCCTGATTGATCCTGTCTCTGCAGAGGTCGTGTAGCAGAGTTGTTTTTCTGTCTGCCTTAAGCCTTGTAATCAGGTAGAATCATTTGGCTGTTGCAAGCTTGTTTCATGATTAGCTGGAAATCTTCCACTTGAAAAACAAGCCTAACTTTGTTGTCTCTTTAAGATGTAAAACTCCATGCCCTGGCACCCTGCTACTAACAAGATGTTGGGGTGCCTTGTGCTGATTTGCATCCGGAATTGGAGTGTGATACTTTGTTTGCATTAGATAGAGATAAGAGCTCCCCTTTTTTGATGCAAGGCCAAAACCACACTTCATGTTTTGAGACGGGGAATTGACACAGTTGAGGCCCTACCTACCCTCTTCCATCTCTCCTCCTTTCGGGGGAAGAGATTGTAATTAAAGTTTGAAGTTTATCTCTCCTTCACACACAGCCAGCTTAGAGCTCCTTGAAAGAGTCCAACTTTCAGTGCGCGGAGCTTCAAACACGCTGAACCCGAGCCAGCAACCAAAGAGCTCTGCATCTCTGTTCTTCATAAGCCTCTTACATACACTCCTTCTGCTCCTGTTGCTCTGTGTGTGTGTGACTCAGCCAAAATGATGCCACAAACATTCATGTACATGCTCACATAAACTGATAAATAAAACGCAAACACATGCACGTAAAAGGAAGCATTCACATCAACGCTGACAAAACTAAAATTCTAAATCAATCTAATCATTTTCAAATTGTTTTCTCTATTTTCAGTGGCATATCAGAGAGGAGGAGAGGGTGTTAGCAGCGCTGGAAGGTAAGAGTTTATTTATTTCTTATGTAAAGAGTGTGTACTGTTATATGTCAAATACTTTAAAAAAATGGGGGAAATCAAATCATGACTATATTTGAATAACAAATGCAGTCGTATGGCAAAACTACTGAACAGTTGAGCAGTGTTGGGCAAGTGCACTTTTCTTCAGCAAACACTAGGGGGAGTGCTGTGACTTTCTTAAGCCGTAGAGAGCTGGGGTGGGGTAAGGGGGTGCATTAAGTATGTTATGATAACATGAACAAAGCCCCATGCAGTCTGCCAGGAGACCATCCTCATCCTAGATGGTGGAGAGCCACATCCAACCACAAGGCTGTGCCATAGCCTCACCCTAAAACATGAATAGAGAAACCTGCCCACACATAGCTGTAACGGCACACCTATGCATGTTGTGGAATGGTGCATTGTGTACAAACAGCGAGACTTAAAGAATGATGCATGTTATAACTCATTTGTATGTCCAATAGATGGCATCATACCGCTTGGAGATTGAAAAAAATATATAGAATGGAGAAAAGAAAGAGGAACTATGTATTTATTGGTTTCCCTTTCTTTACTAAGAGTACATGATGTAAATGTGTGTGTGTGTTGTTCATATAGTAATGAATAGTTAGCTTGGAGCAATCAGCATTAAATCCATATTATCCAGTTCTATGATTGAATCCCAATTTGCAGAATGGCTATGCCAGCTCTGAACAAAGACAATGGCCATTCAATATCAACATACAACTGCCGGGGTGATTGAGGAGCTATTGTATGATTGTATTTGGTTGGATATGACCAATGTGTTCATTTCCCAAAATGAATCCGAAAAATGAGTCACTTGAGAGGGAATGAGGAAACATAATTCAATGCTAAATCAGTGTTGGGATTTGCAACTGGGAGCAGTGCTGTGGATATTTGAATATTGAAACAGTATATGGCCGTGGTAGAGTAGCCTGAATTATCTTTGTATGCTAGATTGATTCATTCCATGAGTAGTAGGAAGCGATTTATTCTCGGCTCTTTTAACACTGGTTGGACTTAGGTCAGGTTGTACAGTAGAATCCTGTTGAACAAGTAATCTTGCATTGTGCTGAGATTAAAGACAGAGTAATAGGAGCAATACACGGAAACAATAGGGATTGATGGCCAGGCGATCATGTGAGGACTGGTTCGCATGGGTTTATCTTCTAGTGCTGGCTTTTAATTTCATTCCTTCTGTAAAGCTAAAAGAAGAACACTTTTAAATGATAGAGATGCTGTGTGACAACATTACTCGTGAAGCATTTGTGGTTCACTGGCTGTTCAGGATGCACATTTCGCAAAATAGCGAGTGAATTTTATCTGGCTGTCTAATCCAAGCGGTTCGCTAATGCTCATGAGGGCTCAGGGAAAGTGTCATCGACTGTGGGCAAGTCATGCACACACAATCTATTTAGCTGGGCTGTTTTCTAATGTGCTCCCTAGGCTGTGTGTGTGTGTGTGTGTGTGTGTGTGTGTGTGTGTGTGTGTGTGTGTGTGTGTGTGTGTGTGTTGTGTGTGTGTGTGTGTGTGTGTGTGTGTGTGTGTGTGTGTGTGTGTGTGTGTGTGTGTGTGTGTGTGTGTGTGTGTGTGTGTGTGTGTGTGTGTGTGTGTGTGTGTGTGTGTGTGTGTGTGTGTGGCCAAAAGGCAAACAAGTACGGTACTAAATGTTTCCTATTCTCAGCTGCTGGATAAATAAACTCAACATAATCCTCTCTTTCAGATATCATGTTTTTGTGGTGTTTCATTTCATTCACATTAATGTCAGTGTGGTGTTGGCTCAGCCTCTTACTATTGTTAACTATTTGGTCCATTTTCTTACAGGCCTGGTTTGCTAAACATTGGGGAATCTGCTACACAACCATGGCTGGCAGACACATGGCCAAACTCCTGCTCCAATCACAACGACTGCAGCATGAACTGCTGCACTGCAGGCAATGGCAACAGTGACAGCAACTTGGCAACCTACAGCCGCCCAGGTATGAAGTGTTGACACTTCCATGCGTAGGCAAACACCAAAATAAACACATCTCAAACGCAATGATGCAGTCCTTGACAAAATAACTCTGGAGATAAGAAACGAGGGAGCTGGGGGAATCTGCTGTGAAAAAGGAAGTAGCATCTGATATGTGGGTTAGCTCCCTGGAGAGTTGTTCTGTGTATCTCTCATTTCTGTAGGTCTCCACAAGAAAAACCTGAAGAAATACCGGGATTAAGAGAGGCTGTGTGCTTGTGGTTTTGATTTATTTGAGGTTAGAGTGGAGCTGTTTCAGGCAGGAAATAAAAGGAGCACACTGAGAGGGGCTTATGTCCCTACTCTGTTGCTAATCGAATTGCTTTGCTGATTTCCATACTGTTGTTATAGCCGGTAATGTAATTTCCCCTAAGTGCTCAGTTATTTAAGAAATGTGCAGCGGGCGAAGAGGTCAAGGCTGGACTGCAGACGGTGGCCAGAAGCAGAGGAGGAGAGAATGATAGAGGGAGAAAGGTGCACCTGGAAGACCAGATGGAAAGGGAGAGAAAGGATTGATGATGAATAAGTATATGCTAAAACATATACTGAAATGTATAAGGGGAGTTAGACAGCGGATTGAGATAAAGTTAAGGAAAGAGACTCACAGACAACCACCAATTGGCCTTTTAGTATATTCAGCACTAGTACAGTTGTCAACAAGAGGGAGCAAATATGACCTCAACACGTTTTACATTACCACAAAACAATATATATTATTGTATGCAGACTATGCACACACACACATAGTGGTCTATCTGAAAAGAGAACAGCGTAAAACTTCAGCTTGAATGCTGCAGGACTTGCTATTATTCATTTTAAGCTGTGACCCAAGTCTTAAAACAACCATATCCTCGGAAACTTGGACTGCAATGAAATGCTTTATGTTCTAAATTATGCACTTTGGGACTATTCCTTCAAGGGCAGCCCATAATTCCTATCCAGCTGTTCGGCCTAATATCCATCCAGCCATTCAATAGTTTCTCCTTACTTACAACCTTCCCCAGTGAGGATTAATAATTCATCTTTTAGACTTTATAGTCATCAGATTTAGTTTCTTCTTTGTGCTAATCACCCGTCTGAGGTCGAAGTGTTCGACTCTTTCCAAACATGGTGTGAGATGTTTAACAGGGAATAACAGGCTAAAGGCAGCCCTCACCCTTCGCATGACACCCCGCTGTATGACACTAAGGAGCTTGCCAGATGCATGCTTTGTGTGTGTGCCAAACCTAAACTCTGTGAACATTAAGAGGATCACTGAATAGGTGGCAGAGCAACAAAAAAGGAGTTAATGTGCCTTTATCTCAGCCATAGGGGCGCCTTCACACGTCAACCTTTGAAGTGTCGAGCTGTTCCGTGCCGCTGAAATGTGAGGCGCGCGGCACGAGCAGCGTGCACCTATGGCCGCCCTTGGTATTTACCGCAATGCTGGCTCTCAGATCTGCTGGAGGATTTGAATATTTTATGAGCCAGGGAAAATTGGATCTGTCAGTGGAGCTGTGCTTTTACTGCGTGCCTCATTCCAGGTCTTTGATACAGACATGTATTTTTGTCCCTCTCAATGAAGAGAGAACATCGAGAAACAGAGATGACACCCACATTGAGTCATAGATGAGAGAGGGGGCTGAGCAAAAGCTGTAATAACACCTGTGTCACTCACCTAAAGCAGATCATCATTTGGCAAGCAAATTGAGACTTTAAACATAAAGAGAGTCCCGCTAGATGGCACGGAGATTTTTCACAGCTTGAAATTATTATCTTAATGGTTTTTGCTTTTGTTTAATAAATGTATTGAGCTCTAGATCAAATGATGCCCTATTGTTTCAAAGCTTTTACCAAACTGGCATACTGCTCCTAAGCTGATCAGCAGTAGACAAGATTGACTAAATACCCTCCTCATATTCTCCAGCCGACTGCATCGCCAATTATAACAACCAGATGGAAAACAAGCAGACCAACCTCATTGTGCCAGAGGCAGGCGTCTATGGAGATGTAGACTTGTCCAACAAGATCAATGAGATGAAGACCTTCAACAGCCCAAACCTGAAAGATGGCCGCTTTGTAGGGCCGGGGGGCCAGCCGACACCATACGCCACCACCCAGCTCATCCAGTCCTCCATCATGGGCAACCACGGTAACCCCGACAGAGGAACCGGAGGCAGTGGAGGAGGCCTCCTGGGTGGAGGGGAGATGAATGAAAAGCACTGCTGGAAGCCCCCCTCACTCCAGCAGCAGAAACAGGAAATGGGCTCCCAGATGCAGTACAACATCATGGAGCAAAACAAGCTGAACAAGGGTGAGTGTGGAATACAGAAGCCATGGCTGCAGAGGTCCACTCCGATCCATGATCTTCCTCCGCTTCATTTCCCCCCTCTGTTCTCTCCTCTCCCGGCTCTTTCCGCCTCACTGGTGAAGCCTGTGGAAGAGTTTCAAGCTCATATTTTCCTTGGTTCTTTCTCGCTCCTTTTCAGTCAACATAAGCATCATCGCTCTTTCTTTCTGCCTGTCTGTATGGCATTCATGTAACCTCTCATCACCCTCCATGCAATCATGTGCAATTTTTCGCAGCTAAATGTGAGCCAGGCCTGAATTGCTGTCATTGTATGGTATCTTGGTTGTCTCTTTGTGATGAAAGCAGGTGTGAGGACTTATCTTTGGTGTCAAATTTCAAAATGAAAGACAAAGATAACTCTTGGATCTTTAACCGCTTTGAACAAAGCTATCATCACCTTGTTGTACCTGCAGAAAGGAATCACATGTGGTGTGACAGTTTTAAGAATTGTGTGCAGATGCTGCATGTGTTCACATACTCACCTATAAATGATAAAGCTTCAACTGCATGCCTCGTGTGTGTAACACTATACACTGTGCTAAGTGGTTTTGTACTTCTGATACAAAATAATGTCCTTAATTTCCTTGTCCAATACAAAGTGGATGCTTTGCTTCAAAGTGTTTTGAGTAGAAGCAAGGTATCTGCCAGAGGCCATACTAACCACACACTCCATTCTCCCAAATCAGACCGCTACAGAGCAGGTGACAGCCCTATGCCTGCCACCATCCCCTACAACCAGACCCATGACAGTCACACTGGAGGCTCCTACAACAGCTCGGATCGAGGCAGCAGTAGCACCTCCGGTAAGAGCATTGGGGCATGACTAAAAAAAACAAGTTGCAGGAAGGGCATTCAGAGGTTATCAAGTTGAGTCTGTGCTAATAATTGTACTAGGTTTGTTCGCCGTTTTGTTTTTGATGAACTGCCAAATGTTTCCGGTTTATTGTTATTGCAACCATATAATCATATACAAGCCTGTAGCTTTATTTGAAAAATCCTAGTATTCCCCAAAAGCAATAAATCACTTTGATATGCTAATAATGCATGCTTTAAAATGGTAATTTGATTAATTACCATGTCATCCTATCTTGAAACGAAATTGAGAGGGAGATGCCTTTAGAAAATAGAAAAATGCAGAACAAAAGGAGAAGAGGAAACTGACAACAATGCCTTATAACAAAGGCACCGTAACATAACACCATGCCCAGCATTCGCTTGTGGCTTTTATGCAATGTCATCCAAGGGATGTTTAAAACAAATGTGATTAAAGGAACCTTTTCTTTTATTAATTCAATTTTTCGTTTTTTTCTGATTTCTTACGCATTTCTCGGTTTGTACCTGCTTAGTTTGCATTGCTTTCGTTAATTGGCTTTACTTTATTTCACCAGAGCCTCAATCCGTCTGCAGACAAGGACAAATGATAACTCATTGCGGATGGCATGCAACACTGCCACCTTAATGCCATGTATCCATTCTGATATTGCATTTGAAGTTCAAGCCATTAAGGAGAAACCTTTAGTGCTCGCTGCACCTCACAGCTCATTGGTTCACAATTCTAATAGTTTGGTATTAATTGGACCCTTTTCTGCCGTTATAATTCCTACCTTCCCTCTTGGTACTGCATAATACCGCTGTAGGGAAATGACTATTTTATAGTATTTCCAATCATTTAGTAGCTAAGAGGTATGTGTGCACACTTCCATAACAGTGGAGGGTTGCATTAGCCTTTGCACTCTTGCATGTAACATTATCATTTCTTTGTTAGCCAGTCTTTTTATTGCATTTTATCTGCTGTCAGTTCCTTACGTTGGAATTTCGTCAACATTAATAATTGATTTTCAGAGATGGAGCATATATAAGTATATATGTCTGGAGGTGTCTTGCGATTGACAGAGTGCTTTTTTCTCATTTTTGAGCAGGGAGTCAGGGTCAAAAGAAGGGAGTGCGCACCCCCAAACTACCCAAACAGAGCACAATGAATTGGGCTGACCTTCTACCCCCTCCCCCTGCAAACCCACCCCCAAGTCGGAGCACAGAGGAGTACTCGCTTTCCATGGATGAAAGGTGGGACATGTCTGCACAGACAGACAATCTGACAGGCATGCACACATTGTATTTAAATACTAGTTGATTCTTCTTGCCTTTTCTCCTGTTTCTCGCCTCATTGCTAGCATTTGCCTCAAGGGTTTTCTACCTATTAGTGCTAGGCTCATGTCAAACCTTGATAGAAAGGTGCCATGAATATTTAGTTTATGTTTTCCTGGCTTCAGTATACAAAAACATGTTTTTTTTGGGTGATATGACGGTAATGAGGCTCATTTCTCTGTTGGCAGTTGTGAACCAGACATGCAGTGCCCCATGCCCCCCTCTCACATGTACCTGCAGCCTGATGAGCTGGAGGAGGAAGAGGAGATGGAGAGGGGCCCCACTCCTCCCATCCGAGGAGCAGCCTCTTCCCCTGCAGCTGTATCTTACAGTCACCAGTCCACAGCCACCCTCACCCCCTCACCCCAGGAAGAGATGCAGCCGATGCTCCAGGACGCACCTGACAGCCATGAACGCAGGTACACTTGCAGGATGTCTACTACCCCAACAAGTAAAACAACTCAGACATAGACCAATTTCACAAAAGCAAATCTTAGGTTTTAGATACATTTCTTACCTTCAAAGGAACCATTTATTTCACCTCATTTCATTGCATCATTAAAATCAACCTGCACTGATTTGAAAGTTTCTGAAATATGTCAAGCTGTGAGCAGTACCTTGCATTTGTTGGTGCACAAATAAATGAAGACATCATATATTTAGTATTACATTTGCAAAAATAAGCTATTTTTTCAAAATGGATTTGAAGTGATTGGCTCAAATATGCTATATGAGCAGTGTGGTCTCATTGTTATTGGCTGCTGCATTTGACTTTTCTCACATAATTTAATTGAGAAATGGGTTTCTGATTTGATTGGTTCTTCCCCTTTTGCAGGCGCCACACAGTGAGCCCCCCACCCCTTCAAATGCCCCACTCTCCTTCACACACATATGGGTACATCCCCAGCCCGTTGGCCTTGGACACTGATGGCATGGATGAAGATGACGATATATTGGAGGAAGAGGAGGAGGAGGGTGATGAGACAGATTCAGAGGTGGCCAAGATGCACTACCACCACACCCACCCCCACACACACCCCCACCACCCCCAGATGCATCCACGAAGGTTGCTGCTCCGAGGGCTTGAACAAACGCCTGCGTCCAGCACCGGCGACCTGGAGAGCTCCGTCACCGGCTCCATGATCAACGGATGGGGGTCGGCTTCTGAAGAGGATAATGTCTCTTCAGGGAGGTCCAGTGCCGTCAGCTCATCAGACGGATCCTTCTTCACTGATGCTGACTTTGCTCAAGCGGTGGCTGCAGCTGCAGAGTACTCAGGCGTCAGGGTGGCCAAATATCCACACACACTGGGCCCAGAAGTCGGAGGAGCGTCAGGTGGGTTTTATGAAGGTGCCCACATCCGCAATAAATGTTACTGTAAGACATGTGAGGAATTGTGAAAGTAAATTGTTCCTATGTTTTTTTTCCCTCAGCACGAAAATACCAAATAAACCCGTCAGGCCACCGTCCCAGCAGCCCGGTGTCCACAGACAGTAACATGAGCATGGCAGCTGTACACAGGAGGCCTCCTAAGAAGCAGAAACAGCATCCAGCGGCTCATCCAGCGGCTCATCCAGTGGCTCATCCAGCGGCTCATCCAGCGGCTCATCCAGGAAACCAGCGACGTGAAGTCTATAATGAAGGTAAACATGGATTCATTATTATAAAAACACAATAATTCAAAGTTTAAACAACTTTCAAAATGAAAACATCTTGTGAGCTCAATATGTGTACAGTATGTTGATGCTAATAGATTATAGAAGGCCTTTTTTTCCTACAAATATATCTTGTTACCAGCCACAATTAATATTATTATTTGGATAATATTTCTTACTGCACGTGGACATGTTTTGTCACCATGATAGATACAGTCAGAAAACGTGTATTTCTTTTCCCACTTCAGGCCTCTGAACTGATTCTTTGTAGCGGCTGGATGGATCCAATTACAAGATGGTCTCTACTTAAACACCATGTAAATCTACATTTAAGACTAATGATTAATTTATCAAAAATAAATCTAAATGTATGTTGTGGCATATGATATAGGGTTGATTATTGCAACTACATAATCTACCATATTTTTGAAACTTTAAAATAGTATTAGTATGAACTAAGTTTAGTACAAACTATGTTTGTCTGTAAATGGTTTTAATTACTTTATACAGCCACCAGACTAATAGACAGGCACGGAACAATACGAACAGTTGAGTTGTGTCCCACAAGTACACAGATGGCCAGTTTGTATCAATGACTATGTCTCTATTCCCTCTACAGAAATGTTGGGTAAAAGTGCTGTTTACTGTGATTTAGTGTAAATGACTGAGTATGGGTGTGCCATGAGCCAGGGCTTTAAACTTCTCTCATGTGTTCACGCACATGCATACATGGCATCATTCCTAATCTGTGACAGTGCTGAACAGATCGGGCAAGTGGTGGGCTGGAGGCCAGGGCCATGGTGGGGACGACTGGAGGGGGGGGGGTGGTCTCCAGGGAGCTCTGTCCAGCTTGGGTCTGCTGACACTGGGATGTCTCTCCACTCTAGCCACTAATGAAATTGATCCAGGTGCTCTGGCTCTCACTGAAGTGCCACCTTCAGGAGCCGGACATAAACCAAACAGGGGCTAAATACCGGAGCAGCTGCACACGGAAGGGAAAGCTTTAACCTTGTTAAGAGAAAGAGCAATTGACTTTTAAAGCATAACTCTTAACAATACACAGCCTTATTCTAGCTGTTTCCTTAATGCTTTGATCCTGTGGATATGTATTTCCTGTTGTATTTCTCTGCATGTGTGTGTGTAGGCGCTCACTCTGCTGTGTACAGTATGTGCTTTCCCAGAGCTGGCTCTCCTCTTAGTGTCAGGTGTCCTTGAGTGTTGGAAGCACTTGACAGGGAGATTTAATATCCAGCTCACTGGGAGCCAGACCAGCTATATCACTGCAGAGAATCCAACCCACCCAACCTCCGCCTTCTGCCATCATCCTTATATCCAGGCTCCTTCCCCATCCACTGCCCCTCCCTTTGGAGTGATCTCTCCATCCCTCTCGACTCTCCCCTCTTCTCCCGTGCTCCCCTCCGTCTTTGTTTGAGCAGCGAGGGGGCGGACTGACAGCTATGCAGCTCTGTCTGTCCATCAGTCCTCCTGCTGATTGCATTTGATCTGAATGGATTGTTTTTCATTTGGAGGTTATTGCCTCCCCTGCCCCCCCCCCCCCTGTCTTTTCTTCAACCCCCACCCTTCATACCCCTGTCTGTGGTCTAGAACACTGGTGCTGAGGTGTTAGGTGAGATTTTATGAAATGTTAAGGAGGATAGTAACAACCCAAAACACAATGTGTATACCTATGTTTCTGTAAGTTATTGTATGTCACTGTACCTTTCCAATTTCTGCAGATTGGACTACTATCCCAGCGCATTACTGTAAATACACATACATACCATCAGTTAAGGCGACAGTTTAACACCAGCAACCCCCCTAATACCCAAACAGCCTCCCTTCCCCACCCCTTTCTGACCTACTCATTTCACTCCTGTTTGCTCAGTGGATTTGGAAACTCCCAAGTTATATTCCCCTCATGATTCATATTGTGTTTGACTCAAATGCCTTTGTCTACCTTCTCTGAACTTAACCCTTCCCTGTCTCTTTTGATCTGTCTCAGTCCTGTCTGCCTAATTAACCACCCGGCCATCCAATACACCCTCTTTGGCAAGCCCGGAGACACTTTTCAGACCTGAGCTCTGTCCTCGCCCATATTTCCTCATAAATCTAACAGGCACTCTGCTCCTCCCTCGTAGTGAGCCATATCTCACAGACTGTGGCATTGATCGGACTCACACTGAGGCAGGACTCAGGAGGCAAGAGAGATATTAAAAAACTGCAGACACCTCTTTGCTGTATGATATTGACTGGCCCTTTTTGTATTCAGGAGGAGAGTATGGAGGTAGAGGATAATCAGAAGAGTGTATTGGGGCTGCTTGATTCCGCCAACAAGACACAGCAAAGACACTCATTAGCCTCTCGAGTGTAAAAAAGGGAATAAAAGCTTTGATTTTCCACAAAGTCCAGTGTGCCACAATCGAAAAACAGAGACTATCCATGCCATGGGTCTTTTAATTTATGGAATATAATAGTCATAGTATAATGTTTCATAATGATGTCAAAAGATAAATCCCAATATGCACAAAAAATGTTGTAAAAAAAGGTCTTAAAACAATGTCATATAATACTATGCCACTTAAAATGCAAAAATCTTAGTATCATAGTGCAGTCATTGTATTCACTACTATGCATTAACACAAGACCATCTTGCAATGGAATAACGCTAGACGTGAAGCCAAGTCGGCCCACATCCATCTCCAAACACTGCCTTTTTTTAAATATATATGTATATGACTACACATCCATAAACAGTTCTGACTGCATGGTTGTGATGTTATTGCAAATATAAACACCTGACAAAGAGCTAAAAAGAAAAGCTGCTACAGGACCACATATTACAACAACAACACACAGAGATACAAAGTGAAGACGACACCATACATCGTGTTTAGTCAAGAGTATAAGATGGCCTTCGGAATTCAAGCAAGGTGTAAGAGTTGGCACTTGAAATGTTTATCAACAACTAATCATATGTGGATTATAGGTCTGACCGCAGACAAACCATCCTTCAGGTCGGATGCTGATTACAAGATGAAAGTCCATCGATTGGGGGAAGAAAAGGATTTTCTCTCACCATTTTGTTAGGATGGTGAAATGTGTACGAGACCAGGCGGCCCACTGGCCTAATATGAATAATGGCTCAAGGACAAGCAGCATTGATTCATCGACAGGGGAAGTGGAGCAGTTCAGAGAACCAGCTGCTGACCGTCACACCCCCGTCTTCCTCCCCTCTTTCTCCTCTCTTGCCTCTTGCACAAATGTCATAACTCTCAGATTTGGCCTCCCTAATGTAATCTGTTGTGTTTACTGTCGGCACGGAGGAGTTTCCGCTCGGCATAGCTATGTGCAGAGCTCTGAGTGTATGTACACACACTACAGCTGTGTTTGTGTGTCACCTTGCGTTGTGTGAGACAACTGAGCTACACACGATGCACACAAGTTACATGAGCCCACTTTATGTTGTTTCCACATTTGTTTTTGATGTCTGTTTAATGTGTTCTTGGTTCCTGTGTTTATTCTTCAGATCTCCCTCCTCCGCCCATCCCACCTCCTGCAGTGCTCAAGTCACCTACACACCCGTCCAAGGCAGTCTTGGAGGGCCGGGGAGTTTCCCCCAAAGCAGTTGAAGGTCGAGACAAGAGAGGAGGAACCGGGGGCTACCAGCCTAGAGAGGGCTCGGACACCAGAACCAGCTCCTCTGAGCGCAGAGAGGCTCAGGAGAGACAAAGGACTGCTCATGGAGGGAAAGGGAATAAACATGAGGGTAGCACCGCCAGCAAGGCTCGCCAACACGCAGGTACAACAGCAAATACCATGTGGCCCCTCAATGCTGTTTGCAATGTTTTTGATTATGCAAGACTCAATACCTTCCTACAACTGTTCTTTGACCCTAGGTTCAGAGGACATTCAGCCCTATAGCCGACCACAGTTCCCCACAGTCAACAGCCCCCGGGACCCCAGCTCCTCCAGCTCCATGTCTTCCAGGGGCTCGGGGGGGCGGCGGAGAGGAGAAGGGGGCCGCAGGAACCCTGCAGACATGAGCCTCAACACCACGGGGGCCTTCCAACCAGGAGATGAAGAGTCTGAGGTACATATATGCCTCAACAGTTGTGAATATGGCATTACCTAGGTCAATATCTAAATTGGGTGAATTTTTGAATAATTGTAACTTGGATATGTACAGTACATAGGAAAAATAAACTGCCATTTTTCTAAATAACCTTAAACCTTGTTCCACATGAATCTACTGTATTGCCTTGTTACTTATTGCATATATCAGGATCCGAATCAGAAACAGGTTTATTACCAGTTAGGTTAACACATACGAGTAATTTGACTTGATGTTGTGGTGCATACATAAAAAAAAAATGAATTAATTAAAAACACAGATATAAAAATATCTGTTACTGACGATCTTTAGCTCTGGTTATGAAAGATATGTTAACCATTTTTTTTCTATTTTTTACAGATGGTAGAAAGCTGAAGAACAGAAGAGGAACTGTCCTGATTTTTCCAAGAGTGGAGCACCATTCTTTCTCTTACAATTTTAAATATTTCAGTATTTCACCATCATGTTGGCTGCCATTATACTGTACATCAGTAGTGTTTCTTTACATCTGGAAAACAGACCAATGCTTTTTTTTCTAACTTATCATTTTCTATGTCCATTTAAAAAAAAAAAAGGAGTGTCTGAAGATAAAAGAATGGTGCATTGAAAACAAAATACGCAGTAGTATATTTATGTTTAATTCCAATGCAATATGGAGAGAAATCCTGCTCCAGACATTGACATGACTCTGCTTGCCTCGCCAAGAACTTTGGAGAGCCAATACAGATATTACTGTAATAAAAAAGCTGCAAGCAGAGAGGGGTGGACTGTCTGTAAATATACGTGTATACATGATGTCCTCTTGTTTTACCCACTGTGGTACCTCAAATTTGTCTTCCATGTTTTATTTTGCGAATTCTAATTTTATTATGCCAGTAAATATAATTATTTGTATCATTTCCATCCATGTTGTAAATTGCTATATTATTTAGCTGCCCCAAGAAAGTGCCACTTTGGGATTTTTCTTTTTCTTTTCTTTTCTTTTTTGTAATGCACTGTTATGTTTCGTGTTGTTGTCAATGTTTGTTATTTGTTTTACTTTGGTTTTAAAAGCACAATCACTAAACTTTATTTTAAACCATTCTATCTATTAACCTTTTTGTCTTACTGGAGGAAAACAGGTATGACAAAAGAGTCTAGTTAATCCTGATGATGACGATGATAATGATGTTGGTAAAGGTTGCTGTTTACGAAGGCTGTGCTTGAAAGGAGACTCCTTGCGTTGTGATTGTCACCCTCTCCAGTTCTGACGCTAGATCAAGTGATTAAAAAAAGACAGTTAATGTGAGTCATAGCTGCAATGTATATATCTTTTTCGCATTGACCATAAACTCAGCTATTGCACATAAATCTAAATGGTTATGTTGTCTACTAATGCACTTAAACGAATGTCAAATACAGGAAATAAGAGTCACTTTGGGAATCTGGAGAGGTTGTAATTGGACAAGAAGAGTCTCTTTTCTTGATAAGACAGTGGTGGCGGACCCCTGTTTTTAAGGAGGAAGGGTGCTGTTGTTTATTCATAGGACATCTGCAAACATTTGTTTCGTAAAGCAAAAATGTAAAAGAACAAAAAAAAAGATGAATAAAAAAGTTCAAACTATGTATGTGTCTTTGGTTATTTATCATCATTGAGAGAATGAGACTGATCTTGTTTTCATCTACATTAACAAATTCCACAATCTTCTATCACACAATATTTATGAAACTAATCTGTATCCCAAGCCCATTCTTTGTTGCTGTAGCCATAAATACAAAAACAGGTCCAAAATATAAAGTTTAGTTTTTAATAGTATTAGGTATTTTTTCTGCAGAGCATTTCATGTATGTCAATGGGTCAGACTAATTTGTGATTCTTATATCTAATAAGTCATACAGTAGCATGTCATCGAAATATGAAAAGTTTGTCAAAGAGTAGATAACAAAAAGAGATTAAAAAAAAACATTGACATTATATTAAAAATGTTATCGTTTGTCATGTAGAAAAAGTAATAGTATTATATTTCAAAGAATGAAAAAAGGCTAATTTTATTTAAGGTCATAGTAAAGTATGTCATACAAATTTAATATGTGTTAAACAATTCACAGTGGAGTGGGTAACAGAAAAATGCATTAAAAGGTCATTGTATAAAATGTCAAAATGTGAAAAAGTCATAGTAAAAAAAGAACAAGGTACAAATGAACATAAAATGTCATCAAGAAATCAATAAACAACCATATATTCAGAACTTCATATTATATATTATGCTACACAAATTAGTTAAACAAATGTAATGGTATAGTATTTCATAAAATTATAAGGAAAACTGTAAAGAAATCTTAAAAGAGAAGGCAACACAAATGTCATAAAGAGTCATAGTATGTGAGAAATATTTTTGAAAAAAGTCATATGCATGTCATTAAATGCATCCATTATTATGTTACAGAAAAATTGATTAAAAAAAGTCCTAGTATATGTCATAAAAATGTGTAAAGGGTAATTTGGGAAAATTCATAATACAGAAAGTAAAAGAATGAAATGGAAAGGTCATAGTATAATATTCCATTAAAATACCATGTAATAGTGTTTCAGAAACCAAAATACCAAAAACTAATTTTAGTATGGTGTCATCAAAACATTTCATAAGTCATATATAATTAGTTTAGTTGTTTGTTGTGTATACTATTATAATATAAACAACAAATGTAATAGAAACGCATACTATAGTAGGTCATAATAAATGTCATAAAGAGTCAAACAATAGTATTGAAAATATAATGGAAATGTCAAGAGGTCATAGTGTGTTACAAAACAATCATAACAAGTCTTAATGGGCTAGATGTTTTTTCTAGACAATAATAGAGTTGTATGACAAACAGCAATACACAATTGTGGGCGACACATTCAATATTAAGACCAATGTATTGTTGTCTTAGTCTTATTACTATATTAAACAAAGCAGGATTATAATTATTTCATGACATGAACAGAAAAAAACAATTTAAATGTCTAATAAATCATAATTGTGTCATAAACCATGAATGCAAAGTACACTGTTATCTATGGAGATATTAATAAAATGAATGCATTTATAGCCTTAACTTATTCATCAAAACTGAAAAGCATCATAACAAAGCTCAATGTCATTTAATCCATTGCAATTCAATTGAAAGATCTTCAGAGCTGGCTTCACCCGAGAGGACACTCTGGGCCTTCCTCATTTCACTTATTTCCCCTCCTCGACTCCCCTCCTCGACTCCTATCCTCGAGACTTAGTCCCGGCCACAGGAGATGCGAGCGGAGGAGCCGAGGAGGGGAACCGAGGAGAGAGAAGGGGAAGCAGCAGGCGGTTAGAGAAATGAGAACTCCTCTCCTCTGAGCGGTCATTTTAAAGAGACGTCCATTAATGATGACAGGAGGCACAGCAGCACTCTGTCTGATGGACAGATGTGTTCATGACGACTTATATATTTACTTTTGAATTCATTCACAGTGCGGTATAATGAGACAATAACAGGCTACAGATGCGGACATACACACACATATATATATATATATATATATATATATATATATATATATATATATATATATATATATATATATATATATATAGGTATAGGCTATATATATATTTATATAAATATATACAATTTCAGAATCAAACAAGTATGAGAGCACTCACAGCATAATAACGTAAAACTATCAGAGACTGGATATATCCCCCTCTCTGGTCGCTACAATGAGGAAATGAAATTACAGGCCAAAAGTTGTATTTACAAGTATTAAAAGTAAGCAGAGGACACCAAACCAACTGAGACCCGTCTGTCCGCTGCATCTACGCACTGTACAACACGCACCTACAGCTCCTAAAGCATAATCAGGCTACAGCCATTGTGTATTTTATTATGTGAAGCACTAAATGGTTTTAGACAAATGTCGACTCTTTGTTTGTAGATATCTACTAAACTAAAGCAAATACAGAGAGTAATGTAGGCATGTTATACTTAAGCAGCTCACGACAGGCCGTGGTATATGGCCATTATATCACAGTTAAGGGGCGTGGTTCGGCCCGACGCGAAGCGGCCTGAAGTGAGCTATTGCTTTTATAAAACGGTTACCAAGTGTGGCAATATGAATGAAAAATACACACTCTAATTTAAATAGTTGTTGTTATTAAATAATGATGTTCAAAATAAAATAGTCCGTCCGTTGCCTTCTGCACAAAACATAGTGCGAGGTGGTTGCTATGCAACAACACTAACAACAGCTAGCGAACATATTAGACAGAGAGCGTTGATCCATTATTTGGCTATTTATTTACATTAATTTGTATGTTGCCGTTGTATGTTGCCGTTTATTGTGCACCCACTGAAAAACTGTCCAGCATCAGTAGCATGGCTTACGTGGTTACTTGTATAGGTTGAGGTTGTTCTAGGCTGTTGCTTGGCGTGACGAGAATATTGCTCCACTTTCTCCGGTCCCCGAGATTCGGCTTCCAGTAGCTCTGGAGAGAGCTTTCGCACCTGTGGCCACTAACGGTCATCATTTCTCTGCTTTGTTTCAAGACCCGCATCAGGAAGCTTTTGAATGGTGGTACCTTTCCAGTTGGTCTACTACCTGCTCTTCACGTAGCTCTGCATGTCGTCGTTAGGTGCTTTTTGTTCTGGAGATATAGGCACTGCTCAATCCACTCCTCCATAGTAAGACCCCCCCGGAGGTCGAAGTTAATCTTAAATGTTTCCATCTTATGCTCTGTAAGTTTGTTTCGTAACGGAAGAAATGTAAATATATTTATAAAACGGACAAGTAAAATCAAGCAATCTGATTGGTTCTTAGCCGTGGTATACTGAGCGTATACCACGGGTAGAATTGTAAGTTACTTTTCACAACAACTCAGTAACCCTCCGCGTCTGAGATAAACAGTATACAGTTGGGCCGAAAAGCAAACTCAGTTTGCTTTTCAAACTGGAACAAGAAAGCAGCGGAGAAGTAACGGAGCAGAAACCCTCCTTTTTACGCAGCGGTCCAGACATAGACATCAAACGGCAAAAACATATTCAGTGTGCAGTTCCTTTGGCATTAGGGCAGGGATATTTAGATACTTTCCAAGGTTTGACATAATGAATTGTGCTACTTTTAAAGCGAGCAACGATGTTTTCAAATCTGTAATCAAAAAGGTCCGCAAAAACATTTAAGATTAACTTCGACCTCCGGGGGGGGTGTCTTACTATGGAGGAGTGGATTGAGGAGTGCCTATCTCCAGAACAAAAAGCACCTAAACGACGACATGTAGAGCTACGTGAAGAGCAGGTCGACCAACTGGAAAAGTATCACCATTCAAAAGCTTTCTGATGCGGGTCTTGAAACAAAGCAGAGAAATTATGACCGTTAGTGGCCACAGGTGCGAAAGCTCTCTCCAGAGCTACTGGAAGCCGAATCTCGGGGACCGGAGAAAGTGGAGCAATATTCTCGCCACGCCAAGCAACAGCCTAGAACAACCTCAGCCTATACAAGTAACCACGTAAGCCATGCTACTGATGCTGGACAGTTTTTCAGTGAGTGCACAATAAACGGCAACATACACATTAATGTAAATAAATAGCCAAATAATGGATCAACGCTCTCTGTCTAATATGTTCGCTAGCTGTTGTTAGTGTTGTTGCATAGCAACCACCTCGCACTATGTTTCGTGCAGAAGGCAACAGAGGGACTATTTTATTTTGAACATCATTATTTACTAATAAAAACTATTTAAATTAGAGTGTGTATTTTTCTTTCATATTGCCACACTTGGTAACCGTTTTATAAAAGCAATAGCTCACTTCAGGCCGTGATATATGCTCATTATATCACAGCTAAGGGGGTTGTCGACCCTCCGCTTCGCGTCGGGCCGAACCACGCCCCTTAGCTGTGATATAATGAGCATATACCACGGCCTGTCGTGAGCTATTGCTTAATTATAAAACGGACAAGTCAAATCAAGCAATCTGATTGGTCGATAGCGTTTTTGCGGACCTTTTTGATTACAGATTTGAAAACATCGTTGCTTGCTTTAAAAGTAGCACAATTCATTATGTCAAACCTTGGAAAGTATCTAAATATCCCTGCCCTAATGCCAAAGGAGCTGCACACTGAATATGTTTTTGCCGTTTGATGTCTATGTCTGGACCGCTGCGTAAAAAGGAGGGTTTCTGCTCCGTTACTTCTCCGCTGCTTTCTTGTTCCAGTTTGAAAAGCAAACTGCAGGCAGTTTGCTTTTCAGCCCAACTGTATACAGTTTTTCTCAGACGCGGAGGGATACTGACTTGTTGTGAAAAGTAACTTACAATTCTACCCGTGGTATACGCTCAGTATATCACGGCTAAGAACCAATCAGATTGCTTGATTTGGCTTGTCCATTTTATAATGAGTGATATATATGATACACACTGCTTTCTGCATGGACCTCACAGCTGTTCTCACTGTAAACATCGCGTCGCGATGAAAGCAGCTAATAAAATAATATCATGGGGATGCATGCAGAGCTGTCATTGGCTGAGATAAGTCCGGCCGTGCATCACAACTCTTTGAAACATCACTGTTCCCGGAAATGCATCCACGAAGGAGCCGTGGAGGACCCA